AAGAGCTGTTTGCTGTCGGGTTGGATGTTCAAAAAGTACGATGTCAAAAGAGGAATCGAAAAATGTTACGTCAAAACATGTCATGAAAACAAAGTCAATAAATATTGCGTCAAAAAATAATTTGACAAAAAAGTCCAAATATATTGGGACATATTTCTATTTTAAAAGAAAATCCAAATATGTGAGTAAGTCAAAAATACAAAAAAACAGTCTAAATATATGAAACATTCTTTAAGAAAAGTCAAAATATGTCTAAAATGTCATAGAAAAAAGTCTAAATCCCTTGCTTTGATGAAAGACATTATCTTCCATTTCTAGTTTTATTGATAATAATTATATAATGAGAATTATTTCCTTTTTTCTGTAACTTCAATCCTCTGGAGTTATTCAAGTTTTTCCTTTCAAATTCAAATAAAAGCTCGATGACTGGTATGATCTTACCTTCACTCAGCACTCATTTGTACAGAGTAGAGCTTGAACGCATCATAATAAAGTCAATGGAATCTGATAAAGTTACTTTATTAATAAAAATACTTGTTAACTCTTCGTGTCTTGATTCACTTTTAGTCTTTTAGGATGTGCTTGTTTTAAATTTAGTGGTCGGTGCTCATCTGGGATTAAAATACCTACTCTGGATTAACAACTCACACCGAAACAGTCTATTTAATGCCAAGCTGACATGTTAGCATTTAGCTCTCCGGCTACAGTGCTCCACCAGAGAGTAGTAGAGTTTATGCTAATGCCGTTAGCCTGCAGCCCTGCGGTGACCCGCTATGAACTCTTGTAGATTAAAGTTTAGGTCTGGCTTCAGGTTTTGATGCTCTGACAACCAGGAAAGTGGGCGAGATGGTTCTGATCCAGTTAGGACTTCCATAGGTCACTTTTAGGCTTGAATGCTGTGATCTTGTTGGACATCTCCGTGGGGACGTTTTTGCGTCCCTGCTGCCTCTGATTCAGGTGCGAGATGCTCGCTTACGTCACACAACGTGGCAGAAGCCCAAAGGTTGGATCAAAGGTTCGGGGCCTCTGGTCCCGCCCCCTTCCTTCTGTAGGGCTGCACGCTCTGCATCCATCTCCTGTAGAAACAGCTGGCCAGCTGAGGTGGGCCGTGGTCATTACATCATCACCTTTGCCACACGGTGCTTCTTGATGGACAATGAGAGGTCATCATGTGTGCCCAGTGACTTTTTAAATGTTCTCCTTCATTAGTCCAACCCAAGCATTTTTCCTTTCGACACATGCAGGCGCTCCCATCGGTAGTTACTCATTTATTCATCAAATGTTTTAGTCATTAAAGAAAACCTGTGAAAACATTTAAACAACCTCATCTTGTGAAGAAACAGCCTGGAAGACGTTCAAATCGGGGAGTAAAAAGTATAAATGACCCTGGATTTCACGTGTTATTTGCCGTTGCCATGGTGACGTGTTCCTGTACGAGTCCCCGCAGACTCTCACCAGGAGGCCTCGTGTCCCTGAGGGATCAGGGTCCACGGTGTGAGGCCTCAGGGGGGCGTTGGGCATCATGAACTCAACTCAGGGACATTGAGTCTGTCCACTGATGTTTGTCGTCCCCGCCCTTCCACTTTGGGCTCTTTATTGATGCCAAAGCAAACGCTCTCATGAAGGTAACCTGCCTGCAGCCTCTGAGCGTCCTCGTGAAGCATCCCAAGTCAAACGTTAGTGTTGATTCTTCTCACACACCTCCAACCGTCTCGCTCTCAGAGACGTGGAAACTGTCCCTCACTGTTTGCTCTGATGATTAATCATGTAAATGATCCTTTTGGAGACACGTCCACAGGCTGTGAGCTTAGAGAATAAGAGGGAGGAGAAGATCCACCTGGCCATCAGACTACAGGAGGAACCGTGGTGAGTAGCAGCTTCTCTCTGTTTCAGGACGATTCATCAAATGCTGAATCCGTCACAGGGACGTTTGAGGGACTTCTGTCCTCGTTTTAATGGAGTTTGTGCTCAACAAAACTATGAAAACAGACGTTGATGTTGTTATTTTAGGGCTTTGGAGCTTAACGGGTTTGTTAAAGTGTTGAAACAACATGGTGGTTCTTTACTCCCCACAGAACCACCATGTTGCTTCAACATCCCCAGAGTTTGGTCACGTTCATATTTACTTCTATTTATAGTGTACATAGTTGGTAAATGTTGGTACTCTTCTTGTTGTCATTGTGTTATTTTTTATATTTGCCTTGTTTGTAGTTTATTATTTGTAGAAGTTTCATTAATCCGGAATCATGCGTCCAGCTGTGCTAACCGCTGTCCTGCTCTCGGTGCTCTTCATCAACGCCGTGACGTCACTGAACCTCGGTGAGTACAACCCTAGTGTGAAGAAGTAGTGAACCCTGAAACACACGCAACGTGGTGTTCCTCACACACATGACACACGTCATACATGTAGCACGTGCTCTGATGACGCTGTTCTCTCTCTCAGGCAATCTGCCGCTGCGTGAAGAGCGAGCTCTCTTCGATGCGCCACCAGATGTTGCGGTTCCGGTGGCTCCCGCTCCACTGAACATGCGGGCTTCCCGAGCCGCCGACCCGAACCAGAGAAACATTCACAAAGTTGGAGATGATTCTCAATTACTCTGCAAAGGAACAGTTTGCAATGGGTAATGATAATTAGACGGGGGGGGGGGGGGCTTTGTTTGATCATCATCTGCTGATGTGTTCCTTCTCTCTGTAAAGCTGCTCTGTGTTTCTATAACCCGCCAACACGAGCTCCAATAAACGCTTCAGCATTCAAGCTCCTGGTGTCACTTTGTTGGGCAATGAGGGGTCGATGTTCACGCTGTAGATTAAAGCACTAGATGATCCGTAGATTTCGAGCCCGACACACGCGGCTCAGCGGGGGTCCCACCGGGTCGAGTTCAGCACCACGGACAGCGACTACGGGACCTCATTCATTCCTCCTGTAGGACCTGAATAGACGTGTTCTTGTGTGAACTCTACTGACGTTAAAACCAAACCGGTCATTTTTTTAAATGTATTAATATCAAGAGACATGTAGAATGGGATTTCTGGAAAGGTTTAAAGAGAAAAGATGCGGAAGAACTTAAAGCAGAGTTCTGAAGATGAGCCGAGGAGAGAAGAGCTGTTTGCTGTCGGGTTGGATGTTCAAAAAGTACGATGTCAAAAAAGGAATCGTAAAATGTTACGTCAAAACATGTCATGAAAACAAAGTCAATAAATATTGCGTCAAAAAATAATTTGAAAAAAAAGTCAAAATATATTGAGACACATTTCTATTTTAAAAGAAAATCCAAATATGTGAGTAAGTCAAAAATACAAAAAAAAACAGTCTAAATATATGAAACATTCTTTAAGAAAAGTCAAAATATGTCTAAAATGTCATTAAAAAAAAGTCTAAATCCCTTGCTTTGATGAAATACATTATCTTCCATTTCTAGTTTTAATGATAATAATTATATAATGAGAATTATTTCCAATTATCTGTAACTTCAAACACCTTGATTTATTCAAAGTTTTCAATTCAAATTCAGATTAAAATAAACGCTCTATGACTGTTATGATCTTACCTTCACTCAGCACTCATTTGTACTGAGTAGAGCTTGAACGCATCATAATAAAGTCAATGGAATCTGATAAAATTACTTTATTTATAAAAATACATGTTACCTCTTCGTGTCTTGATTCACTTTTAGTCTTTTAGGATGTGCTTGTTTTAAATTTAGTGGTCGGTGCTCATCTGGGATTAAAATACCTACTCTGGATTAACAACTCACACCCAAACAGTCTATTTAATGCCAAGCTAACATGTTAGCATTTAGCTCTCCGGCTACAGTGCTCCACCAGAGAGTAGTAGAGTTTATGCTAATGCCGTTAGCCTGCAGCCCTGCAGTGACCCGCTGTGAACTCTTGTAAATTAAAGTTTAGGTCTGGCTTCAGGTTTTGATGCTCTGACAACCAGGAAAGTGGGCGAGATGGTTCTGATCCAGTTAGGACTTCCATAGGTCACTTTTAGGCTTGAATGCTGTGATCTTGTTGGACATCTCCGTGGGGACGTTTTTGCGTCCCTGCTGCCTCTGATTCAGGTGCGAGATGCTCGCTTACGTCACACAACGTGGCAGAAGCCCAAAGGTTGGATCAAAGGTTCGGGGCCTCTGGTCCCGCCCCCTTCCTTCTGTAGGGCTGCACGCTCTGCATCCATCTCCTGTAGAAACAGCTGGCCAGCTGAGGTGGGCCGTGGTCATTACATCATCACCTTTCCACACGGTGCTTCTTGATGGACAATGAGAGGTCATCATGTGTGCCAGTGACTTTTTAAATGTTCTCCTTCATTAGTCCAACCAAGCATTTTTCCTTTCGACACATTGCAGGCGCTCCATCGGTAGTTACTCATTTATTCATCAAATGTTTTAGTCATTAAAGAAAACCTGTGAAAACATTTAAACAACCTCATCTTGTGAAGAAACAGCCTGGAAGACGTTCAAATCGGGGAGTAAAAAGTATAAATGACCCTGGATTTCACGTGTTATTTGCCGTTGCCATGGTGCCGTGTTCCTGTACGAGTCCCCGCAGACTCTCACCAGGAGGCCTCGTGTCCCTGAGGGATCAGGGTCCACGGTGTGAGGCCTCAGGGGGGCGTTGGGCATCATGAACTCAACTCAGGGACATTGAGTCTGTCCACTGATGTTTGTCGTCCCCGCCCTTCCACTTTGGGCTCTTTATTGATGCCAAAGCAAACGCTCTCATGAAGGTAACCTGCCTGCAGCCTCTGAGCGTCCTCGTGAAGCATCCCAAGTCAAACGTTAGTGTTGATTCTTCTCACACACCTCCAACCGTCTCGCTCTCAGAGACGTGGAAACTGTCCCTCACTGTTTGCTCTGATGATTAATCATGTAAATGATCCTTTTGGAGACACGTCCACAGGCTGTGAGCTTAGAGAATAAGAGGGAGGAGAAGATCCACCTGGCCATCAGACTACAGGAGGAACCGTGGTGAGTAGCAGCTTCTCTCTGTTTCAGGAAGATTCATCAAATGCTGAATCTGTCACAGGGACGTTTGAGGGACTTCTGTCCTCGTTTTAATGGAGTTTGTGCTCAACAAAACCATGAAAACAGACGTTGATGTTGTTATTTTAGGGCTTTGGAGCTTAACGGGTTTGTTAAAGTGTTGAAACAACATGGTGGTTCTTTACTCCCCACAGAACCACCATGTTGCTTCAACATCCCCAGAGTTTGGTCACGTTCATATTTACTTCTATTTATAGTGTACATAGTTGGTAAATGTTGGTACTCTTCTTGTTGTCATTGTGTTATTTTTTATATTTGCCTTGTTTGTAGTTTATTATTTGTAGAAGTTTCATTAATCCGGAATCATGCGTCCAGCTGTGCTAACCGCTGTCCTGCTCTCGGTGCTCTTCATCAACGCCGTGACGTCACTGAACCTCGGTGAGTACAACCCTAGTGTGAAGAAGTAGTGAACCCTGAAACACACGCAACGTGCTGTTCCTCACACACATGACACACGTCATACATGTAGCACGTGCTCTGATGACGCTGTTCTCTCTCTCAGGCAATCTGCCGCTGCGTGAAGAGCGAGCTCTCTTCGATGCGCCACCAGATGTTGCGGTTCCGGTGGCTCCCGCTCCACTGAACATGCGGGCTTCCCGAGCCGCCGACCCGAACCAGAGAAACATTCACAAAGTTGGAGATGATTCTCAATTACTCTGCAAAGGAACAGTTTGCAATGGGTAATGATAATTAGACGGGGGGGGGGGGAGCTTTGTTTGATCATCATCTGCTGATGTGTTCCTTCTCTCTGTAAAGCTGCTCCGTGTTTCTATAACCCGCCAACACGAGCTCCAATAAACGCTTCAGCATTCAAGCTCCTGGTGTCACTTTGTTGGGCAATGAGGGGTCGATGTTCACGCTGTAGATTAAAGCACTAGATGATCCGTAGATTTCGAGCCCGACACACGCGGCTCAGCGGGGGTCCCATCGGGTCGAGTTCAGCACCACGGACAGCGACTACGGGACCTCATTCATTCCTCCTGTAGGACCTGAATGGCTTTGATGGAACCATTTGTAAAGTGTCATATCCCAATCGTTGAACTGTCTTTAAACCAGATCCCCAAATGGTAACACTGGTTTAAAGACAGCTCAAAGATTGGGATATGACACTTTACAAATAGGCGATTAATGTCTTTAAGGCTCTACGCCCTTTTACCATAACATTTTAAATCGAGGCACATTTCATTTTGAAATGCGGTCCACATGACCGCAGTGGAGAGGGGTTTCACGGGCGCGGAACGTCGCGCAACCCCCCTTTGACCGGACCAACTCTATAACACTCTATAACAAGAGCTAATTCAATCCATGTCCAGTCGTCAAGTCTGATATGTAGAGTGAACATTTAGATCTACATTTAACATTTACATTTTACATTTACATTTAGATATAACATTTAACATTTACAATTAGATTTAACATTTAAATATAACATTTAATATTTACATTTAGATTTAACATTTACATTTAGATTTAACATTTACATTTAGATTTAACATTTAGATTTAACATTTAGATTTACATTTAACATTTACATTTACATTTAATATTTAACATTTAGATTTAACATTTAGATTTACATTTAGATTAACATTTAGATTTACATTTAACATTTACTTCGCTGATGAAACATTTAGATTAACATTTAACATTTAGATTTACATTTAACATATATATGATTTAACAACTTGCCAAACATCCTTGGAAAAGTTATTGCATGAATTTACGTGAATTTCTCTCAAAATTTTAGAAAAATGGACATATGAATATAGTCGTGCTTTTTTGTTCATATGATAATGCTAAATGTAGCAAAACTGCGCAGGATTTAAGAAGTGCGACATTTTATAAACGGCGCCCCATATGTGGGTCTATTCGAACCCACCTTCTGTTCCCTGGAGTAGCTGCGGGGCGGTTATTCTGGCCACTAGGGGGCAGTAGCGGGTTGGAGGGCAGGACTGTCGCTGTCATATCGAACAGGTCAGAGCATCTGGTTTTTCACAGAATAAACCCACCTGGAATGCTGAAGGGAGACTGTCATATTTCAGTGTGTAACATTCGCAGTTAACTTAAGTTTTACTATAGCATGTTTATTTATAATAATTCTTTCATTCATGTAAGTTATAGAGCATGCGCGGTCGATACATGTGTCCCTCTATTGACTAAGGGTTGCCATGCCTCTTTGAATATCGCCATGTTGAAGGCACCTTCCGATCATATGAACAACCTGCCGTTCCACCGGCTGCATGCTTATGAATAATTATGTTATGTTCTAAATAATAGAAGAGTGTTCTAAAATAGGTAAGAGATTTCCATTTACAAATATACATCAAGAAATGCTGCATGTTGAAATGACGTAATTTCCAGACTTTTGGGAGAGCCTTTTGGTACGTTCACAAAATCGGAGATTACACTACCGAATCAAATCAAATCCTCACTATAACCGATAAAATAACCGGGAGGTGTTATTGGACTTCGATTCACGATTCCTGAGATGAAATGAGAATTGAACACAGATGATGATTCCAAAGAATGACGTTTAATAACCAGCAGCAGTTGGCAGTATTTGCTCCAGCTTCTCTCGTCTCGCACAGAAGCTGAGTTTCCCCAGTGCTCGTAAACGCTACCGGTCAGGTAAGAAGGACCGAGTCGGACGGATAAAGACCCGCCGAGGAGCCTCCATCGCCCCACCCCGTGAGTTCTGGTGATGCTTCCTCATCTTCTGCTGCTCGCTGCTCTGCTCGCTGCTTGTTCAGGTAGGAATTAAGGACTTTAAAAGGCAACTTAGTTTGTCTTTCACATACCGGAAATACGTGGGGGGCTTGTACTACTTCTACTACTTGTACTATTTGTACTTGAGGCGGCTGTTTGGACTCAAACATTTATCTCTAATTTGACAAAGGAAACGACTCATCAAAAAACGGAGAAAATAAATGTCCATTAGTCGTTGAAAATAGAACCGCTGATGAAATCCATAATCTAAACGTGCTCGAGTCACGTAAAGTGGAAAATATACGCTTTCACGTTTCAACTGTTTCCGGCCGGTCGTGATTCCTCCGAAGCCCCCTGAAGGCACCTCGGGGCTCCGCGTCTGTCCCGCCGCCCTAAACCTGTTATTCATTATTAATTATTCCGTCATTTATCATTCCAATGACGTGCGGGTGTAAAGGGACTGCGAGGAACCTTCACCCGGTTCTGAGTCGGTCTCACTGTAGTTCGGATCCTCGATGTGTCTCATTTTAGTTGATATGTTTAGAAACACATAAGAAAGTCTTAATATCTTATGTTGATAAAATTCATAGAAAAAAAGACAATTAAATTAGGTCTCAAAATGTCATGGAAGGAAAAACAAAAAATATTAGTTTGCAAAAATGTAAAAATATATATATATATTTATATATTGGAAATTGTCTCAGGTCTCAGTCTAAATATCTCAGGTTGGAAAATGTATGTTAAAAAAAATATTAGGTCAATTGTTATGAAAAGAAATGTCATCTTGACTTTTTCCATGACATTTTTCGACCTATTATGATATGATTTGATTATGTTAAAAAAAAAAGTCAAATTTAAAATGGATGGCAGGCCGCACTGGGTCCGTTTGGACACTTCTGGTCTATGTGAACCAATCTCAGGATAGTCCTGATCCACTTTAGACCTCCATCAGTCAACAAGACAATCGGGGAGAATGTTCTCTATAGAGTTCTTCTTGATTCATGTGACTCATGTTTTTCCCTGCAGGCCCGAGGGAAGATGGCCCATCGGAGACGGTCCAGGTCCAGGCTTTGGCCGGGGACGACATCCTTCTCCCCTGCAGCTATCGCGTCCCGCCCAGCAATGAGTTACCCACAGTGGAGTGGTCCAAGAAGGGCCTGGAGCCCAACGTGGTCCTCCTGTACCGTGACGGCTGCGAGACGCCGGAGATGAAAAATCCGGCGTTCTGGTATCGGACCAGCCTCGTGACCAAAGAGCTGACGCTCGGGAACATCTCGCTGAGGATCGGCGACGTGCGTCTGTCCGATGCCGGGAGCTACCGGTGCACGAGGCTGTGGAAGAACCTCCCCCGGGACGTCACGGAGGTGCAGCTCGTCGTAGGTGCGTCCGGTCGCTTTCTTATACACAATGAAGGGGTCTGATTGAATAAATCCGATTGCATAGAAGTCTTTGGCGAAACGACTGTACTTCTGTCTGGATTCATTCCCTCAGTAAACATGAGTTTATGGTCTCAACCTCCCGTTTCAAGTCTTCTTCAATACAGCATGATGCTCATTTAGTAAATGATGGTCCATGTTGTTGTTAATAAAGGGAAAGAATATCAAATACAATCCTGATTGTAGACGCTCAGTTTAATGCATTAAAAAAAAAAGAACTGCCTATTGAGTACTTTTTGAATCTCAAGGTGTTCAAATGTGTAAATAGCAACACGATAAAACTCGGGCGCGGTTCATTTCAGTTTCTGGTTACAAGCCGCACCCTCACAGGCAGAAACACGCAGGTGGAGCCTCCGGGGGGCTTCTTAGTATTTCGCAACCCGCCAGGTGAGAATCTCTTTATTTTTTTCCCAACAGGCGCCGCGTCAGAGCCCAAGCTGTCCGTCACGAGGCCCGCGGGAGGAGGCGTGGCTCTGCAGTGCACCGCCGACTGCTGGCTGCCGGAGCCCCGGATCTCCTTTCTGGACGGGAGGGGGGACGTCATCGAGGCCGACGAACCCAAGAGAGACCAGGACGCCCGCGGATGTTTCTCCGTGGGACTGACGGCGACCCTCCAGGACGCCAGCGGCAGGTGGGCGGGACGTGTTCATCTTGATCGTTAACTATTCAAGAGGCATCTACGTGCTGAGCATTCGTTCACACCTCACATCCCAATCTGTCTTCGCAACACACCTGTGCCAGCTGTGCAGGTAGAAGCTCCGCCCCCTGGAGAGGCGCTGTGAGGTGTCCCGCACATTCACTTGGTCTTTATTCCCGCCTGTGTGGTTCTTTATCGGACTTCTGATCGTGGTTCGGCGCCGTGAACTCGCGTTACCGTTATGACGATTTAACGGAGGTGTTTTCATCACAGGGTCACCTGCAGAGTTCACCAGGCGGACATCAACCAGACCCGGGAGGTGGAGGAGACGCTGCCAGGTAGATTGTGATATTGCATCAAAAAGATTTTAATCTTAATGTGTCATTTAAACCCCCCCCCCCCAAAATAAACTGTTTAATTTAACCATATACTGTAAAAAAAAGGTAATTTCTTAATCAGAGACATGAATCAATGATTGATTCACCTGAGACCAACAGTCACAAACTCTATGTGCTCCATATGAACTCCAACGACATGAAGAAACGTGCTGCCCCCTGTAGGTGGCTCATGGTATTGGGCTTCATAGTATTTTGTGTGTATATATATTTATAATCTCATTTAGCTGTCACTTATCAATTATGATCACTGACTACGTCCGCATGTTGTTTTCTTCAGATGTGGGGGGGTCCTGCTTCCTGACCGGCCTCCTCTCCTGTGTTGGGACCACTTGTCTTCTTCTCACTTTGTTTGGTTTAGCGTCGTTCTTCTGCAGGCGTCACAAATCTCGTACGGTCGCACGCAAACTGCGAACGTGGTGCACAGGTGAATAAATCGGACGGCTGCCTCGTTGCCCCTTCTGAAACGAAGCAACACTTCTGCATTTAAGTAGACGGCCTCCCGTGTGGTCTCCTCTCACAGACGGCGACGTGGAAATGTATGAACGTATGTTTTTGATGTGATATTATTATTTCCTCCTCACAGGAGGCGGCTTCTTCTCCCCAAATAAAGGCTCCTCTGAAGGCCAGTCGATGCTGACGTCTGGTCCGTATGCCGAGGATGAGAACAAGAGGAACGCCGTCGTGGAGGCGGAGGTGAAGCAGCTCAGGTTAACGGTCGCTGAGCAGGCAGACACCATCCACCAGCTCCTCCACAACAACAACAACAACAACAACAACGGCGACGACGGAGCCCGGCTGGACGCTGTCGTTTGCCACACCGATCGGCCGGCGTGTCCCGAGAGTCCCGCGGCCTCGCCGCCCGCAGACGCCCCGCATGCCCTCAAACGCAGACACAGCAGCCCGCCCCGCCTCACCCCGCACGCCATCGCCATCGCCGCCGCCCCTCCGCTGACGAGGCCCCGCCGCCTCAGCCGCTCGCTGAGCGAGCCCTTCGCCGGGCGCGAAAGGGTCCAGCGGCGCCACTCGGTGGCGTCTGCGGCCCTGCAGCGCGTGGCGGAGGAGTCGGAGGTGTTGCTCCCGCGCGAGGAGCCGGATGGTCTCGTTTGTGATTTTACCGAAATGTTGAGCGATTAAAAAAAACAATCCGACGGGCTTTTTTTTTTTTTGTTACATAAAACTTTTGCGGGTTCTGATGAATGTGGTTTTGTATAAAATGGATTTTACACATTTTTAAAATTAATTTTTAACCTGTGAGGCGACACTTTATTTTAAGCTACGCGCGAGTACAGAAGGATGCATGAGAGTCGGACTTTCACCCACGTTGCTTTGTGCACTTTTGTGCTCTGCAAACCAACACTAACGACGCCGACGTGGTTCACGTGGTTCACGTGGTTCACGTGGTTCCACCGGCTTACAGACTTTTTACAGACGTGACTTTTGTTTGAGTTTCTTTGGTCGCTAAACTCCATTTGACTCTTTGTTTGTGGCTTTGCTTCACCTGAGCTTTTATCACAAAGAATGTGTTACATGTTGTTATGCTTTCTGATAACGTGGTTTATGGGACAATACAATGCAATAATTATTATGAATCAAGTTTATGTTTAAAAAAAAATGTACAATTTTTTTATGTCCAACACTCACTTTTTGAATAAAGTACTTTAATTAATTTCAAGGCTCATTTTATTCACACGAAACTAATCTTCCAGCAATCAACGAGGAATTAATTACAAATAATCTTTATTTTTTTTAGCATTCAAGCTTTGAAAACATTTGAGTTGGAATTAATTCTAAAATCTCTTTCACATTTTCTTGAACTACACACAAACTATTTGGTTCTGTTGTCTTTGCTTCAGTGTTGGTTTAAGAAGTTCACCCTAACGCGAGAACAGTTTTCTAACCAACCGGCGAACGCGCAGCCGTTTTCTCCATTAAACGCCGCGTGTTGTGGGTGTAAAATGAGCCACTCAGGAAGTGCAGCGACGTTGAGAGTCAGTCTGCGGTGGACAGGATGCTGCTGACACCTTTCTGCCTGCTGCTGTGTGAGTACCCTCTTTATTTACCGCTTTAAAGTCAAGATTCTTCACTTTTATCCTTTTCTTTCTCCACTCTTGTATATTTCGTTTTACTTTCTCACACTTTCCTCCATCGTGCTGGTCCCCCCCCCCTCCGCCCCCCAGCCTGCCTCCAGGTCGTCCCTGACCGCTCCCAGTTCTTCAGGTACAGCTCCATCTCTCTGAGCTGCGCGGGTCCGTGGAACTCCACCGGCTGGACGGTGAAGAGGAAGACCTCGGGTGGGGGGGTCCGACCCTGCGCCTCCGGCTGGGGCGCCGCCTCCTCGGGCTCCAGCTGCGTCATCAGCAACGCGTACCCGTCCGACACCGGGGTGTACTGGTGCGAGTCCGGGGACGGGAGCCGGAGCAACGGGGTCAACATCACCGTCACTGGTACTGCTTTGGAAACGTGGGGGGGCGGGGGGGGGGGTGTTCTATTGGAAATTGGGGGGGGGGAGTAACTTTTAATTAGGTTGTGTCTTAACTGAAGACACCGCCCTGCCTTGTGGAGAAGCCCCGCCCTCCCCCCGGTCGGAAGGGGGCGCCCTGAAATTCTGTGCTTGCGCGGCCAAAGCGACCTCCCCCGGCCTCAGCTTTCACTTTCACAAAGACGGCGCCTCATCGCCAACAGCTCCGCGGAAGAGCTGACCCTCCCCCGAGCCTCGCGGTCCGACCAGAGACTTCTACGCCTGCAGCGTCCCCGAGAGAGAGAGACCAGTCCCTGGCCAGCTGGCTCGATGTCGAAGAGTGAGAAGAACTGTCGACAGTCCACTGAGAGGACGTCTGAGAGAGACAGATGTACCCCAACGTGACACACAACGCCGGTCACCAACTTATCTCCGCAGGTTCCCTGCTGCCTCCGTCCTCGCTGCCTCCACCCTCGCTGCCTCCATCCTCGCTGCCTCCACCCTCGCTGCCTCCGTCCTCGCTGCCTCCACCTGCAGCCTCCTGGTCAGTGTCGGTCCCCCGGCTGGTGGTGCACCTGTTGGTGGGAGCCCCTTACCTGCTGTCCACCATCTTACTGGGCCTCGTTTGCAGGGACAAGAACAGAGGTGAGATGTTTGGAAAGCTTGTACTTGGTGGTGTTGGCCAATCAGATCGATAACAGTAAAACATTGGTGCTTCACCGCAACCGTAACACGTCCAATCCGACCGGCTGAAGAAGCTCCGGTGTCCTCTGCATAGCCGGCTTTGTTTATGTCCGTCACGAACACCCACGACATGTAAAGACCGAATCCCCATGAACACGTCAGCTTCCTGTTCCTCGAGTGACACGAGCCAGGCGACCCAACTGGTTTCATTCCATTATCCGGTCCAATGCCACACCAAAGCGGTTGTTTGGAGAAGAAGGTAAAAGCGGCTTTACCACCTGGTTTTAAGTTGCCTTCATCGGGTCTGCGGCGTATTTCAACTCGGGTTGTTGATGCATATTTGTTTTGATGGTAAGAGAGAGACGTCCCAATCAATGATTGATGGACTTTTAGGGTTCGAGTGCTGCTCAAACGTTGCTTATCTCATCTACCGATCAGTCCCAGCTGCCCTCAGGAAGCCAAAACACCTCCAGGGAACGTTTGCTGACGTCCAACCAGGTGTCGGTGGTCAAAAACACGATGAGAGCTGAGCTAACGCTGCCTAATGCTGTGCTAACGTACTCCGTCGGCCGGCGCGGGACGAGGATTCTCTCCTTTTAGTCCGCGTGAAGCCGCTAGCGGATCCTCACAGGTGATCACGGAGACGTGACTATGACGGTTGATCCATTGATCTCTTTGTTGTCTCAGCAGCTCGGACGGCAGCGCAGAGAAGAGGAAGCAACGTCATCATGGAAACAGTTGCATAGACCCTCAAACTGGTCAAACTGGTAACCAGATTCTGCCTTTTATGTATTTTTTGTGTTTGGAGCGGATCACCGCTTCAGTGCTTTATTCTTCTCTCATGTTTGTTACGTTGCCTTTAATTTACCGACAGGAAACGTCACAGCGCTTAGCGCTGGTTTACGGGTCACCTGTGGTGAGATTATTGCTCTGAAACAAGTGCCTCTTCTAAGGAAACAGGAAACATTGGGCCACTTAAAAAAAAACCACAGGCAGCCGGATGGAGCTCAGTGAACAGAGACGTGTGCGTTTGAGGTGTAAATGTATTAAAAAGTGTTTTTTGGATAAATGGAAACTTTTGTGTGTTTTTTTGGGTTAAAAGGAGTTCAGATTAAACTTTAGAAAGGAGGGTTTGGTTTTTCCCTCCAGGGCTTCCGTAGAAACTTGACGGACTCCGTGGAGCCTGAATCCTTCAAAACGAACAAAAACACAAGAATGATTCTTAGATTCTGGTGATGGATCATCATCTGCCGGTGGAGTCAGGAACCCCCGAAACTCCGAGCATCCCCTCATTCAGGTGTGGTCAGGGTCTGACGGCCTGAAGGCCTTCATAAGGGCCATAAGAGACACACCGTTGGGGTGGGGGGGGAGGGGGACGAGCTGCAGGTTGGACCCGCTGCAGAAGAACTACCCCGGGGAGAGCGTCCTAAAAACTACTTTCAATACTGGACGAGTGTAAACGCAAACTTTTTCAAGTCTTTTAACATTTATTAAAAAAGAAAAAGTTCAAACCCTTCGGTGGTTTGATTTCATTTCATTTCATTAAAACACCAGATAAGGAGACGTGTCTTTTATTTATCTACAATCCCACAAATTGCCTCCAAGAACTAATAAAGATGCATCATCTATTAGAGCAGGGATTGAGCTGCCACCAGGGGGTCCGCGAGAGGAAAAATATAATGGCGGTCAGTTTTTTTAAGTGGGATTTTTCCATTGACATATATAAAAGGATTTTTCTATACAATAAAAAAAGCATGAAAGTAAGTAAACATTTCCTTTGTGACCTCCTGTGTGCGTTGGCTGTCCCGCGACAAAGTGCTGACAAGGCTCTTTGAACTCTGGCACGAATTGCAGCGGTTTTTTGAGGAGAATCCGTTTCATTTGGCCTCCAGTATGCATGACGAAGGTTTTCTGAAAAGGCTCGCCTATCTTCTCAGCTCTGAATGAACTCAATCTAAGTCTGCAGGGAGTCAGTGTAACCGTGTTCAACACACAAGACAGGGTTGAGGCCATGATAAAGAAGCTACGGTTCTGGGCAAGTTGTGTGAGTGGGAACACACACCCGTGTTTCCCTACGCTTCACGAGTTCTTGGGGGAAAATGACGGGCACCTGGGTGAGCATGTAAAAACGCTCATGATTGAACACCTCAACCAACTCGCCGAGCAGCTACGGAAACACTTTCCACCTGTGGACACATCTGGCGCTTGGATTCGCAACCCATTTGTTTCCCTGCCCGTCCCGCAGCTGTCATTACAGAGCAGCTGCTGCTGCTGCGCTCTCTGGATTTATTTCATGTTTGAGCCGCTCTTTGTTACTTAATCATGTTGTGGATCGTGTGTAGGCTCATTTTATTGTCGCACTTGAAAAGTTTCCGTTTTTATTTATTTTATCTATTTCGGAGCCTTTTCTTTTTAATGTTGTGGGTCGTTTGTAATTCATTGCAGTTTAATTCAGCCTGTGTTGATGTTGTTATTGTCATGCGTGTTGTGGTTATTTGCGCATGTTTAAACATGAGTCTCTATATGACGATAAAACAAAGTTTTGTTGCGGTTTTTTTTAAGTGTGAATTGGGGGTGCGCCAACCCGGTTGGGACGTGGAAGGGGGTGCGCAGGAAAAAAAGTTTGGGAACCGCTGTATTAGAGTTATAAATGAGTTTCTCTTCTGCTTCCATCTCGCATAGGAAGCATTGAGGATCCTCCTCTTTTGGACCTGCAGTTCCTTCTCTCTTTGTCCTGAAGTCCACTCCCTGGTGAGGCAGCAAGAAATAGTCTGGTTTCGTTTACCAGGAAGTCGCCGCCTTCCCCGCTGCAATAAAAGAGTTTAAAGTGAAAGTGAAAGTCACAACTGTTGAGCGTCAACACTTCGAGGTGAGTTTGTCCTTCTACCTTCTAACTGCAATAAATCCATAAGTTCCATTTGAAACATGATGCTGTGTGTGTGTGTGTGTGTGTGTGTGTGTGTGTGTGTGTGTGTGTGTGTGTGTGTGTGTGTGTGTGTGTGTGTGTGTTTTAGATGGATAAAATCTTCAACCTACTGCAGAAGCACAGACTGGAGTCTTACTACAATAAATTCCGTGAGATGGGTGTAGAAGATGAGCGGGACTTCATCGACGGAGTGACCGATGACGACCTGATGAACATCGGTGAGTCACCGGAGCCGCCGAAGGGTTAAAGGAGGAAAACAGGAAACTGATGACGTAACCACCTCCCTCTCTCAGAATGAGGAAACATGTGGATCCTGCAGTGAATTGACTTGTATTTCTCCTCCCAAAATAACTAAGCCTGCTTGTACTTTCATATATGTGCAGTGTGTATTTATTTTGCACTTGAATAACTAGTTTGGCATCATGAGAGACGTTCCAAGTATCGGCCCAAACAGAAAACAAGTCAACAAGGGTAACGTTTCCGTTATCGACCTCATGAATACAGTTGTTTGTGTCTCATGTTTCTGCCTCAGGTTTGAGTCAAGTGGAGAGGAACCGTTTCTGTAAACTGAAAGACGCGATCGGCCGCCTGCGAGCTCCTCCTGCTGGCGCCGCGATGTCCGTGAGCAGATCCCTGGGCTGCTTCTGTCTGCAGTACACGTACCCCAAGTGCCCCGAAGCCAGGCACATCACAGGTAAGGAGGGAGGGGGGGACTAAAGGTGACGCAGCGAGGCCATCAAGAGGTCAGGTGTGGGATTACAGATGCTGTAGTTGCCATAAACTTAAACCCCTCCGGATGAATGGTGGTCACTTTGGTTATGCAAGAAACTGCTCATGCATCTTCATCTTCATGAAAATGATTTTATTTGTGTCAAATACCAGACCAACATATAATTCCATTTGCAATACGAGATGGACCTGATTTATTCTCGTGGGTGCGGTTGGATATCCGGGGTCTAAAGGCTTCGTGCCGAGAGACGTTTGATCGTTATAAGAGTTGACTTTGCACCGACTCGTTGGCCTTGGCTGGTAGAAACGTCCCGACCCTTGAACCTAGAGCGGGTAAGCGTGACGACCATACAAGATGAGATTAGACTACATCTGAAATATGTTCCAACATGAGCAGCTAGCTTGGAAAGGCCTTCAAGCATCCCTCTCTTACTCCGCTCCGGCCCCCCGCGGAGTCAGTGGGATCCATGCACGACATTCATTACTCCGCCCTCCTTGCATGTTGTGCTTTCAGATATGGATCCCGCTCAGAACACGGTGGAAGACCTGATGCTGAGGATCTGTCACCTGGAGGCCGTCAACCCGTCCATAGGAGTCTGTCTCTACACAGCGGACGGAATGCCGTTGACGGACGACCCGTTCTTCAACACATGTGAGCTCAGTCAGTGGATTATGAACCAACGGTTCAGGCAGAAGTACATCAAGTCTCATTTACAATCCACACTTCCAACGTAGACGCAGTAGGATTTGAATCTGGCCTCCGAGCCCCACGGATCAGCCAAGCAAACAAAAACCACAATAAGATTGAATTAAAACATGAACTTCCTACAGAAGCTCTTTTCCTGACACATAATGTGTAAAAGAGTGATTTTGATTTTGTTCTACAGGGTCTTTAAAAGATAGACACATTGAAAATGGAGACGAAATCTACGCCATATTCACACCAAGGAAGAACCTGAGAGCAGCTCATCAAAGGTCCACGGCAGAAGTTCCCAGAAGCTGCGGCACGGATGTGGTCCGATGCCACGTGATGCTCATGGTGAAATTGTTCATGACTCCTTCGGGACCTATTTTTCCTCCGCACAGCAGCGTCAGAGAGTCGATATGAAAATGCTTTAGGTTTATTCGTTCCATGACTGCTGACGATCACAAACGTCCTGAAAAAAAAATCCACGTAGAAGAAAAAATAAAATATCCAGACACCAACACACGTGCTTCTCTCCAGTTGTGTGCGTGTGCACACACATCTGTTGTGTGTCACAGCCGTAATAACTCGCCCCCTCGTCTCCCACAGGGCGACTTTGAGGTCCCGGTGGATCTGGCAAGTGACACCATGGCCACTTTGAAGAAACGTCTTGCCAATGAAAATGGAGTCCCAGCACATGTTCTTCATTACAGGTAATTCTCATTTGTCGTTAGCATGCAGGACTAGCGTAGCTTTTCATCATCGCTGATGGTTGCTGACTCCGACGTGCTCATCAGGCCCGATCTGTCCGGAGTTGAGAACGCCAGCGGCGACACGTTGGAGAGTTGTGGAATCTCCGAGGGGTCGACGGTGTACTTCTCCCTGTCCACGTTTCCTGAGGACATTCAGGACCAGGACCAGGATATGTTCTTCATGGACGACGTGGAACCTTCAGTGCAACAAACGGCCAAAGGATTAAGTGTCTTCTTGTCTTCTCTGTACATCATTGTAAGCAGAGTTTACTTTATAGACAGTGTGATGAATCCATTTGTGCACTAATGAAGCCCTCACATATGTGTAACCTCTCTGCATAGTTTCATATGGTTTTACTTTATTATTTGGAAAGAAGTTTTTCATTGACTAAGTTGTCTTTTCCCGGGAAGAATTCTAAATATGCTTCATACGAGGAGTTAAAGGAGATGAATTTACATTTTAAGACAATGGCTGAACACCAAAAATGAAAGTAATGAAAATAATGAGAACAAAGTGTGCAGGTACCACTGAGTGAAAAACTGAACGTTTTATTGGAATTCTTCAATAAATATAAAAGTTACAAGGATGCCTACAAAAGCCCCAAAAAGCATAATGGGAAGACGGGTTGTCTGAAAGCAGTTTTGTGTACCTCTTATGCTCGGTTTAATGCTTTTGTTAATATATATTTAAACATATATATAAATGAATAAATTGCTAATAATCCATAAATACCAAATTGGAAAAAGAAAGGACATTTGCCTTCAGTATTGAAAACCACTGAATGCAGTGTGTACTTGTGTTGACCTTCTCTACCCCAGAAACACAAAGGTCTGGGAGTTAGCCGCACGGATTTGATCGGATACATACGGAAACTGACTGGATGCCACCCACTGGCCCAAAGTTTGCACCAGTTAATCTGTAGGAATGAGATCACATCCAAGAATCAGAAGGTCAAGTATCACCCCATTTTAAAGCGCATTTTGTTTTTAAGATAAACCGGTTTCGCCGTCTGCCTTTAACGCATTTTCTCCTCCGGTAACAATACGTCTTTTTCTTTTTTCCGTAGATCGCAGTGGTTGAAGGCTTGTACATGCTCTTTAGAGAACTTCTACCTCAGCTTGGAAGGAGCCACGGAGAGAAGATCATCGAGGATCTTGATGTCTTTGAGTACTCAACGTGCTGCTGGGCCTATCTCCTGTCAGAAGCAAAGGTGCCCTCATTGGTTTAGAGGCACAGATTCACACGGGTGATGAGGCATCCCAGTTAGGGGGGAATCTGGTTCCAGTCACCCCAACTTCACATGGGCGGGTACTTGGTGGGTTGTACATCCCGTTCTCGCATCGCTCGGCTACGCCTGTATTTGGCCAAAGTCTCCATCTGATTAGAGGATGAACTGATTACAATTTGGTGGTCAAACAGCTCAATAATGACTGCAATAAGGACATTTGATTAAAACGTATTATGCAAAAAGAGCCACATCACCTCAAGGCACAATGTCCTTGTCCGTGTATTTGAACGTTCTGTGTAACCGTGACGTCCTCCACCCTAAATAGTTTCAGTTGAATGTTGCTGCTGAACGTTGCTGCCTCGTTTTCTTTGAACAGAGCGAGACGTCCGATCATGAGAGCTACGCACCTCGTTCTCTGACGTCCGATGAAGGCAGCCGGTTCTGTGACCCAGTCACTGTGACTGGAATACCAGGTGTCCTAGAAAGAGCCGTTGTACTTCAGAAAATCAAAGGTAACGGTAAAATGTATTGTGCTCTTAAGTGTGCAACGCTTCCAGCCCATTGAGGGAAACATTGCTGCGTCGTGGATGATATTCAGGTTTTTGTTTTTCTAGTTCTGCTAAAACACTTTAGTCATAAAGGAAACTGCTGTGACGTCACCATGACAGAAGCGAGTATACCGAGTAAACCAGGCAGTCAGATGTTTCCACATCAGTGCATTATATGAATATATGTACAAAGGTACCTTGCAAAAAAGGTGGTCCAAACATGCTTGGTGAAATAGCCTGCCTATGGATAATAGTTCAAGATGCTAAAATAAGTGATTTAGAGTAGAGGTGCAACACAAATGGTCGTCCTGCTGGCGGTTCTCCAACATGTTGTGGCAACAGGCTTCCATCAGCCTCCACACACATTAGTGTTAAGTTCATATTTCAGCTGCTGAGTGTGTCACTGGTCGGGAGGTGATTTGTGTTTAATTGTATATTGACTTTCGCTTGTTCAGATGGTGAGAAGATTCCACACTACCCCAAAGAGGTCTTGAGGGAAACGTCCCTCCAAAGAGCCACCGACATTGAGAAGATTCTGCTCAGTGTTCATCCATCACTGAAAACATATTATCTCTCCATGTCTCATGCGAGTGTGACTGGGCTGAAGTAGGTTTTGTCAAACATCATGTTCATGAAATATGACACACACACACACCATTTACACCAACTTACTACATCCTACAGGTTCCCAAAGATGGTGATTAAGCAACATTATTGGTAATATTTGTAATAACTGTCACTTTCTAGTAAAATTTTCATAGTGTACAATCTTTGATTGGGAAGCGTAGGAAAGGGGCAAACTAGCTCCTAACCTTATAGGTTCTTTGTTTAATGAAGGTTCTACGAGGACCCTTTACGTGACGTTCTACGGCTCTAGTTCTGTCAGGAATCAGGAACATTTGCCAAATTATGTTGGACATACAAGGAATTGGACATGATGCATAACATTGGACATTGAGCCAATGGACAACAAGAAAAATGTTCAATTTACAAATTTAACTTGACTTATAGACCTTTCATTCACCCTAACATAGTTCCACTCAACAAGGTCGCCTGGCATCATTGGACCAGCACCCAGAAGGCTCATTTGGAGCCGTGCAACCCACAAAAAAAACCTTGGTTCACCACATAAAGTGTCCTGTATTGATCCCCGTGGGGAAAATATTCTCCGCATTTACCCGATCGCACACAGAGGGAGCGTGCGACTTCACATGATCAAACATTGCATTATCCCTGTGTGTCTTGATACAGTTCTCCCAGCATTCATCTCACTGTGGTCTATATAATTCAATTACAGCTTTTACATAAATACCCAGAAGGCCTTTGGAGACATGGCAGAAGAACTGAAAGCTTTCCCTCAACTCAATGTGTCTCCTCCGCTGCGTTTGAAGGACCTCTGTGTTGATGGACTACAGCTGGTTCTCCTGAGTAAAGGTTGGCCTTTCCTTCAGACACGTTTCTCAGCTGGAAAATAGAGGAACCATTGATACCCTTGAGATGTTCATCAGCCACAGAATTCTCCAAATATTGTTTTTCTTTTTGCAGACAACCTTGGTGTGTATTTGAGTAAGGACAAGGCATGTCCTGCTAAGATCGTGGTGTATGACTGTACGGCTGGAAAAACCCGAAATATGGACGTGGACACGTTAGCGTCTCAGTGAGTACTTAGTTTTTTCTCCTATTCTTGACCAGTGGTTCTCAACTGGGGACCCGTTTCGGGTCGGGGTCCTGGGTCATCTTTGGGAGGGAGGGGAGGAGGGGGGCTCACAGCAGCACACGAGGCTCGTTCAGAAAGTGAGAACGATAATTCCCCCCACTCGCCCCACCCAGCGTTATCATTAATCATGGGCCTTTCGTAATGTTATTTCTCAAAGGTGGATTTGGGCAGTTATAATGGATTTGAATGTACATTATTTTAAAGTGGCTGGAATTCATTTTATTTTCTATAGTCCAAAATAAGTGTAGAATCGATCGATGACCATCAGAAGCTCTTTTCATGCAGAACCGGTGACCACAGGGAAGACGATTCATTCACCACAACCAGGATTCCAAAAGAGGCCATAGTGGTAACGTTGACCATCCAGCCTGCATCAACTCAGCTTTATCAATGAGAAAATAATGAAAATAAACAGGCTAATAATTTCATGTCTTCATCAGGTCCTGATAGATACGAGCTCATCCATGGCGGAGAAGTGCTATGACAGTGTGGACATAAAGAAAATCCACGCTGTGAAAGAGCTCTTTGACAACTTTGCCACACGTACCATGGCTTACGATTTCCACCACGTCATCGGCCTTGTGGAGTTTAACACTGAATTGAAAACTCACGCGTTCACGGAAACACTGGAAAAATTCAAGGTACATGGAATAGATGACGCATTACACAGCGAGATGACGCTTTGGTCTACGGGATGTTTGTTTTGTAGGTAAAGTTACCTATTCTACTGATCCTTGCAGCAACATGTGCGTACCATTCAGGCCGGAGGACAGACAAAGCTTTACGATGCTCTACATCGTGGAATGCACGAGTTGGAAAATGTCAAGAAGTTTCCACACTGCAGACTTCGCATTCTCTGCCTCACAGACGGAAATGACGTCGGGTAATTTTCCTTCTCTGTGCTTCACCCGTTTGATTCCATCACCATCATGAGGCCGTCAGGTGACTGTAATGAGGGGATGGGACAAAGTCTTTGAAGGTCACAAGTCTTTGCACTAAAGTGTCAAGTCATGACTGAAGGTCCAGAGTCTCCGGGTATGCATGATGTCAGACAAGGAAGCTGTGATCATATGGTTTGTTCTCTATTGTCATAATGCTATGTGAGTTAAGAACTCATTATTTGTGCATAGATCTTTAAATAAGCCAGAAGACGTTGCTGCCAACCTGATAAAAGCCAACATCATTGTGGATTCGATTCTTCTCGGAAAGGTGGAGAACAATATTCTGTGTGGGATCAGCCATGCGACGGGTAAAGTATGAAAACCTCTATGAACGGGTTTGCTTTGGGTGTAAAACCATATAGGTGTACACGGTTTGTCACACATACACAGCTCCCATGTTCTTTTTTTTTTACTTTTTATTTTGCATTTTAAATACAACTTTAGGTTAATTTCTTAATTGTTCTATATTGCTTTCAGGCGGTTGCTGTTTCAAACCGGAGACAAGCAAAGACGGCCTGAAGCTGTTTGAGATTGAGACCGTTCTCTCTTTGGAGATGAGGAAACCCAAGACCAAAGCTCAGCCGTCTTCTATCACTCTGGTTCGTGCACCAGATTATTGTCTGGGGTTTAGTTTGAGTTGCCCTTACAATGCAAGACGATGGCAGGAATGGGTTTAAAAGAACGATTCTTTCCTCTTGGTACTTTGCAGAGTTTTATAAAAGCAATAGCTGCTCTTCACGGGTATGATGGGTTTCCGGAGGCTGTCTTGCCGAGCCAGATGAGCGGTAAAGTGACCGAGACGGACAGGTGAGCAACGTCTCACTCTGCAGGGTTACTACTTCAGTTTTGCCCTTTTTCAAGTTGGTGAGTACGACGGTTTTGGGTATTGTGTTAAGAAATCACGAGCCTTTCATTTGGCTCAGGCAACAACCTGTGGTTCTGAAAAGTGAAGCCAAAGCGTCGCGTGTTAAAGCGTCATTCTCTGTAGTGACCAGCAGGGGGCGACTCCTCTGCTCCCATAGACGTCTATGAGGAAATGACTCTACTTCTCTGTAGTGACCAGCAGGGGGCGACTCCTCTGCTCCCATAGACGTCTATGAGTGTCTTCCAGTATGAACTCATGACCAGTTACTTTTTCAAGACATTGGTAGTTTTTTTTTAAGATCTTAAATACACAGATATTATGTTAATGTGGGATTCATAGTGAGAGTTGGAAAAGCATCTGAATATGATGTGAAATCGTCATTTTATTATCATGATGTGCATATTTCAAATGAATATTGGTAACAACATGCTAGTTATGGAAGAACAAGTCCAGACACATTAGAAATAAAGAGCTGCTCATACTGTATTTTGACACAGATAAACCAGTAATCTTGAGGTTCTAATATTTCACATCAGTGCTCTGAAAAATAAGATCCGGGACGCCAGAGTCTCTCAGTTGATGGAGAAGGACAGACGTATCGTGGCGGAGCTGAGGAGCCTGCATTGTGACCCGCATCCATACTTCAGCATCTTCCCATCGGAATCTGACTTCAGTGAGTGGCACGGATTTCATTCCTCATATTCACACTAGATCGTCGATGGCTGAATGGGTCATTTGAGGACATTTCCAGCTCTGAGTAATGGGAAGGAAAGTTATAATATTGATAATATTTGAATTGTTGCTTCCTCCGGCATTCTGTATAGTGACCAGCAGGGGGCGACTCCTCTGCTCCCATAAACGTCTATGAGAAAATGACTCTACTTCTCTCTTGATTTATTCCCTCAGAAAACATTGTAAACATGAGTTTATGGTCTCAGTCTCTAGTTTCTAGTCTTCTTCAACACAACATGATGCTCATTTACATCATTTACGTCTCTGCTGCTAGCATAGCAGAGACGTATGCGTCGTCTCTACGTCACTCCGGCAGCTTCACAGCTCTATTGGATGAAGGCAAACCTCAAGTGTCAACTTTTCTCTCTGCTGTCCACGATCTCTTCAGCCTTCTGGAAGATCCTCATGGAAGGACCTCCTGACACACCTTATGAGAAAGGAACCTTCGAGCTGTTCTGCCAGTTTGGGTCCGACTACCCGGTGAAGCCTCCACTGGTTCGCTTCGTCACGCCGGTATCCTGCCAAACAAATGCACATCTTCACAAGAAGAAACTGATCTAATGGATGGATTTCTATTGAATCATAGCAGACTAAATAATTATTATGTTCCCATACTTCTATGATTCTACAAAGATATGAGTGGCCCTGAAGTTAAATGGTTACCCTAATTGCAGTGTCATTACCGTACCTTAACATGAGCAAAGGTGTACCACTGCAACATCAACAGCGTGGGCCGCATCTGCCACAACATCTTTGACCGGAACTACAACGCCCAGATCACCGTGAGGAATATCCTCAATGCTGTGTACGGACTGCTCATCATCCCAGAGCCTGAAGATCCTCTGGACAGGTAAGATCGCCCTAAGAGACACACAACACCGCAATACTTCAGTCCCACAGAAAACCTTCCTTCCTCCGAAAAGTGTTCCTCCAAAGCACCAATGTGGGACAAAGTCAAATGGGTCGTACGCACTCTGGTGAATTGAACACTCCGGTGTGTTTTTCCTGGAAGCATTCTGGCCGAGGAGTTCCTCACCAGCCGAGGGAAGTATGAGGAGGAAGCCAGAAAACACACAGAGGAAACCGCCGCAGAGTCCCGGGACGACATGGAGAAGGTAGAGGAGCTCTGGTGGATTGAGAGGTGCCTCAGGCTGCAAAAGAGCCGTAACGTTTACGTGTCAACTTCCTAACAATGTTGGTGCGTTTCTTCTCTGAAAGAAACTGGTGAGTCCTGAGAAACGCCTGGTTCCCCAACATCTCGTCTGCCCGCTCACCAACAAGATGTTCGTGGATCCGGTGAAGACCAAATACGGAACGGTGTACGAGCGAAAGGCCATCGAGAAGCACCTCAAAACGTGAGTCTGTTTTCATCACGTTACCACGTGACAGAGCTGCAGGTCAGCGTCTCCCGTGTCGGACTTCAGGATCATTGTGTGGAAACACCACATGACATCTGTTGAGTATTAAAGCCTACGATCTGTTGGAGGATTTCATGTTGGTGGTTAACGTGAGCCTCCATGAGCTTCCTGGTGATCGTCTCGTCCTCTCACGCAGGCAGAAGAGCGACCCGAGGGGCGACCCGGCGGCGCCGCTCACTGAAGCCGACCTCCGGCCGGCCAACGAGATGAAGAAGATGGCGATGGATCAGCGCTCCAGGCAAATCCAGTAGGAGCTCCAGTGTGAGAGGTCACGTGAGGTGAAGGCGGGCGACCTGGTGCCGCTCGGCTTCCAAGATGCAAGATGAAGACAGACGTCCGTCGAAAACCAAAGTAAAAGAAGTGACGATTAATCTGCACGATGAATATTCCTCCATTTGATCCACGTCGAGATCTAAAGCGCCTTAAACCACAAAGCACATTGACGGATGGTCACAAGAGGAATTGCAGTTAAACAATTGTCATTTAGTGGTTTTTATTTTTAATCTATTTTAAACTGAATCTGTGCCAATAGACATTTACCTGTGATATATCTGATTGATGAAGTAATTAAAGAAAAGATGAAGTGATTGTTTAAATGGACACTTTAATGGAAAGCAACATGAAATATTCACTGCACATTATACGTCATTTAAATAGGATGTTAGGATGCTTGAACCTGAGTTTTCCGCTTAATGTAGAGAAATATTACATCATGAACCCAACCAATAAATGTTGAGTAATGTCATCAATTCTTTGCTCGGTGTAATGATGTAAATAGAAGTTCTTAACTCTACTTGTATTAAAAGCTTCTCAGTTTCAACATTGATCTCTTTGCATTTCTTTTTTTCTCTGAATACAAAAAAAACAGCTTTATTGACACTCAGTCACATTTGCATTTCACTTCCATTGTATATGAGATATTAATGTGTGTTTGTGAAATTAAACTTGCACCACTTGTTTTACTTTAAAAGGGAAAAATCTGAAGGCTTGAGAATAGATTTTGGTCATTTGACTTCAAATGTTTAATGTGTCAAAGGTCAAACGTCTTGGAGAAAATGTTGAGGACAATTGAAAAAGAAAGAAATGTCTCACTTGTTGGAGTTTATTTTCAGGAATCAGGAATCATTTATTTGCCAAAATATGTCAAACATACAAGGAATTTGTCTTGGCGGTTAGTGCGCGACAGTAGACAACAAGACAACAGTGCACAAGTAATAAAATCAAGTTGAATGAAATGTTAATGCAATGGGTTAGTAGAATAAGGCTATGGGTTAGTATAAAACAAGGAATAAAGTTAAAATTTTTAAATATTAAAAAAATTAAAAAGAAAAATATTTGAATAAGTAAAAAACAATTATGTTACTTTCAGCATTTTGGCCCCTTCAGATGTTTCAAATCTCATTTCCTGTTTTAATGATTCAATAAAAGTACAAAACGTCGTATAATGATGATTATGTATTATTTAGTATTTTTAGTTAATTTAATGCTTCTGGAAAACTGATGTAAAGTACCATCCTCTCCTCGTCACGGTAAGTTTTGCAGCTGACACGTGTTGCCTTCTTGATTCTCCACAGTTCAATTAATCACTTCATTTTCTGGCGAAGGCTTTATCACATGGGATGAAATTTAAGAAAATACATTTGAATAAAATAGAAAAGGTCTGTTCACAGTAATCATGGCACAATCAGCTTTTGACCTTAACATAAATGTTGTTGTCTGAGCCTGCAGAGTATTTAAAGTGTTTTCCAGCTATTTCATATTGCACCAGATTATGATTTTAGTGCCATTTCATCACTTCACAGGCTGAGTATCAAATAAAGACGGTGGACGCCATGAGAGATGGCCCCCCCTCCCTGAGTATTTATAAATGGCTTTTCCCCTGAATTTTTCTCAATGGTCCCTTTAAATTGTCTTCTGCACTTGTTTTTGGTTCCACACACGGTTCACATCTGCATCCGTACAATAGAATCACAGTTCTGAGAGCTTTTCTGTTTCCCTGCAGTGTGTTGGGTCAAAGCGGCTGGAGATGCTCCTCCGTCACACGGCTGGAGGAGGGAGGGGGGGGGGGTCCATCTTAATCACGATGTCCTGGAAGAAATAATAATGGAAGAAATAATAAGTAATAAGATAAAATCCTCTTCTCAATATCAATCACACATCAGCCTGTTTTTTTTCACACATTTTGGATTTGGGGAGATTTCTGTGCCGTCTCTTGGGACCACGATGAACTCTGACCCCCTCCGTCTCATCCCAAACACTTCATTTATAATAACAGCAAATGGTGAACATGCAGCAGGATCAATGACAGAAAGTTGAGTAATATTTGACTTACTGTTTGTAAATGATTCGAGGATGCGGCTCATGAATCCAATGATGCGTCTCTTGCAGTCTCTTATGGGTGCGATGCTGCAGATTATCATGACTCCGAAGATGACGAAGCCGATGCCGATGAAGAGGCAGAATACACCCATACCTCCGCTGGTCAATCCGGTGTTGTTTGCCGGGTTTCCTTTATTTTTGAGGTGGTGACCTGAGAGGACGTCGGAGAGATGCTCATGTCAGAGCTTTGCTGCAGACTGTTAGGAGTAACAACGAGGCGGATGTGGTCGTCTGCAGCGCCGCCATCACTGTGGTCGTTGGGGTGAAAGTGATCCGGGGACAAAAGAACCGCCGTCGTGTGGATTCTTTCTACTGCTAACAAATGCTACGCTAACTCCATAAACACATGACAGAGATGCAGAGTGGGATTCTCTTCCTAACACCTGGGTGGTCTCTTCCTAAGTCTTCATGACGTCTCCTTCCCACCTTTCCTTGATAGAGGAAGAGTGACTGCAGACTCTACCTCCACTAACACACTAACTACCTGCAGCACTTACATTGGACTTATAATGGTTCGTATCTACAGCAAGTTGTACATCAGCTTATTTGATGAAATCACACTTTCTTGTTTCTTGTTCTTCTGAGTTTGTGTCCTTATGGTTGAAATGTTCTTATCGTAAGTCGCTTTGGATAAAAGCGTCAGATAAATGACGTGTGATGTGATGCGATGTGATGTGATGCGATGTGATGTGATGTGATGTGATGTTGTGTGAAGCGATGGGATGTGATGTGATGTGATGCGATGTGATGTGATGCGATGTGATGTGATGTGATGTGATGTGATGTGATGTTGTGTGAAGCGATGGGATGTGATGTGATGTGATGCGATGTGATGTGATGCGATGTGATGTGATGTGATGTGATGTGATGCGATGTGATGTGATGCGATATGATGTGATGTGATGCGAGTGGCTAGGAAAGGACGTAGGAGGTAGTTTGTGAGTTACCTGGATCATCAGGGTCCGGACTGCGGGCACCGTCTAGCTGAAGACCCCAACGAGGGTTAAAGGACAAATAAGAGAGGTTTTAGAGTAAAGCACCGCTTACTAGAGTTATTCTTTTTTCTGTTTAAAACTGAATCCAAGTTTCATCCAAATGTTGATCAAGTTATTACCAAATTTCCAATAAAAGGAAAGAAAAAGATACATTTCAATCTGCGTCCTCTGGCATTTAATATTAGTGAATATTGATATGTATATAAATATGTAATAATTACTAAGAAAAAGACTTGATATTAATATTACAGTTACTACAGTTATTACAGTGCTACAAATGAAATAATAGAGAGATTGGTTAAAGGGCTCATGTGATAAATACAGTGTAGGAATAAAACCCAAATAGATATTGGGTTATATGTGTTGTGTATTTTGCTTACAGCTCCGATGGAGAGTTCTGTTGAGCAGGACATTTTCTTTTTTCCAACAGAGCATGTGTACGTTCCAGCATCAGCTCTTTCAATCGATGAGATCTTCACTGAGAGTTTCCCTTCGGCAGGATTCCAGCTGCTGTCCTCAGATGCTCTCCCTTTGAATTGTTCTCCCTGATCATCAGGGGAGAAACCTCCACTTTTGAAGACCAGGACATGGATGCTGCTGTTGAACTGCCAGTAGACACTTTGGTTCGTCACATCGAGTCCTGTCGCGTGGTGACATTCCAAAGTGACGTTATCGCCGACTTCTTTGGAAAGGGGCTCGTTGCAAATTAAGCTGTGATTTTCATCTTCTGCAACGAGAAGGAAGACGAGGCCTTAAGTAACGTGAGACCAAACCAAAGTGCATCTCACAATTACAAAAAGCCCAGAGACTAAATAAAACATTAAATGATGAAAACGCTTCGTCGTCATCACAGAAATAGAAAGGCGGATGTGCGGGTGTGAGTTAAATGGATCCAAAATGTGGGAGTTTATCAGAGTATAAAATCGTTTATTTAACCTCTAACTTTTCTTAATAAAGCTCAAATGTGATTTTAACATCAGAAAGTGAGACAAATGGAAAAAGATTGAGATGTTCATGTCAGACAAAATCCCAATAGCAGTAATTATGCACATATCAGTTAATCATCAATCTGTTGCTATGACAGAGAGGACCTTGGTCCGTGTACCGTTTGATAGTCCCTTTTACCGTAAAAACCATAAAACGAAAACACTGTTTTCTCGTTTTAAATCATAAGCGGTAAAAACGGAAGTGGACAGTCGTTTTTTGGTTCTAAGCAAAAAAACGAGACACGCTCACAACTTTTTACTCCTTTAATCCCCTTTTGAGTTTTGCCCATAAAACGAAGATACGAGGCGTGTCCGCTACACCGGAAGTACGTAGATTTTCACAATAAGAGTCAACGCAATGCAACGTGTGTGTGCTAGAAATCCGTCTGCGATGCCAGCGGTTACCAGGGCAACATCAGGAGAAACGTTCATTCATCATTATAAATAAATACCGGGATGTGTTAGCAGCAGTAGTGACTACAAGAACAACTCGCTGCTCTTCTCTGATATTTATTTTCCACGTATTGTGTCAGTGACCGCAGAGCAGAGAAACGTGTGCACATCTCCACCAGTAGGTGGCAGAATACATGTATTTATTCATTATATTTAACTGTTTACGTTATTTATGAAGGTTATTACAGATATATTTAATGTTGGAGTTTAGGTTTAATGATCTAATGTTGGTCTGCGTTCCAAAGAAAATTACTTCAGTTTTATTGCCGTCACATTTGTTACTATTTTGAAAAAAATAAGCCTTAAGTTATTGCTGATTGTGTCCAGGTCAGTTCCACCTCACAGCCAGATTTTAGGGCAGCTTCGATTACACAGAGACATTTTATTTCCAAGAGAAAATGATTATTAAACATTCCGTTCTTAGAGTATCCCCAGTTACCGGGACAGCGAAGCCGGATGCATCAGTAGCTGCAGATTGGTGACAACAGGAGGTGGACTCACTAACACAAGTGTCACACTTTGGCACCAACAAAGCGCTCATGAAGCTGCAGAGATGGAATGTGCTTTACAGATGTTTGTGTACTGCTGGACAGTGCCGTTAATAAATTGCCACAATTTGTCAAGATGGACTCAAATTATTGTTACAAGAAGACATTGTCAGCATTTGTTATATTTATCTCTTTCTTCTACTTGTAAATTGGTCAAATATAGAATGTGAAATGATGCCATGACACCATGTTTGCCTGTTGGCCTCACCGGACTGTGATGTAGCTCAACTTAAACCCTGTCATTTCAATAATTAAGGCCCACACTCTGGGAATCACTGATCTAGATAAATGAAATAAACAGTTTAATATAATTAAATCTATGGTTTAAATACACGTATTCCGCCACCAACTGGTGGAGATGCGAACACGTTTACTCTGCGTCTCATTGAACTGTCTGCGTTCACTCAAGAAACACAATACGTGGAAAATACGTATTACAGCCAAGAGCAAAGAGTGTGCGACGACAATGCGTATTACTGTGTACATGGACGAATGAAGTACATCTGCATGTAGTCACTACTGCTGCAACACATCCCGGTATTTATTTATAATGATGAATGAACGTTTCTCCTGACGTTCCCCTGGTAACCGCTGACACCGCAGACGGATTTCAAGCATAAACGTTCCATTGACTTCGACTCTTACTGTGAAAATCTACGTTATTTCGGTTTAGCGGCTACGCTTCGGTTCTTCTCAAAAAGGGATTCATGGAGTAAAAAGTTGTGAGTTTGTCCCGTTTTTTGGTTCTAAACGAGAAAACAGTGTTTTGGTTTAGTTTTTTTTACGGTAAAAGGGACCATAAAAAGATACACGGACCAAGGAATCAGTTCCCGGATCTAAAGGAAGACGACGCCCACCACCTTCAACATGGAGATATAATAATCAATAATCAGTAATGATACCTGCTGGAGTGATCAGAAGACAAAGCGCGAGTACGAAGGGTCCCACGTTCCTCTTCATCGCTGAGGAACAACCAACCAACGCGCTCCTCAAGTAAATCTGGTCACATGATCCTTTCACTTTCGCTCTGGGTCTTTAGGATGTAATTGAATATCCCACTGAACATACAGTGGAGTTTATGAACTTACACTTATATTCTATTGATTATTTATTAATGGACGACTTTGAGGTGGGTGCTAATGTTAGAACACGTGTATTCAGGTAAGGAAGCCCGCCCAGGTGTGGAGCAGCAGCGTGATCAGCCGTGAGAAGCCTCCTTCCATCCAGCACCTTCTCTCTGCCACTGAAGACCAACCAGAGGAACTCAGTGGACACCGAGAGGACCTCGTGAAGCCTTCTCAAGGAGAACCCATCGCCAGTTCTCCCAGAATCCATTCTTCTTACTTCATTAGAGTCTTTTTTAATCTACTTCTTAGTAGTTGGACTTTTTTATTTCATGTCTGTGCATGAAACACTGTTGAGTCTGTTATAGGGCTGTAATGTTGTGTGTGTGGTGTGTGTTGTGTGTGTTGTGAAGAGGATATTTCCTTCTAGCATCGTTGTTTTGTTTTAGCATTGAATTAGTTTTTATGTGTTAGCATACTGTGATATTATATTATTACTATTTCTAAACGATATTCTCTTTATTAAATTTATTTGAGCTGAACACATTCCTCAGCGTGGGGGGCGGGGCTTGTCATTGAGTCGTCAGTCGTCAGATGAGAACCACATGTTCTGGCACGCCCTTCATGGCTTCCTGTTCCAGTCGACAGATGGAGCCTGAGACCGACGCAGGATGGAGGTCACGTCGCTCTGCCTCGTGCTCTGTAAGTAATTCGCCTTAACTTCACCTCACAAGATGCTTTTGCTGCTGAGAACCTAAAACATTGACTGCTGCTCAACTTTGACTGACTTCATCGGGAAGATGACAAAGTAGCATCGGGCTGAGGTCGTCCTCTGAGCTCTGCTTTGGTCTCCACCACCGATTCCTGAGGCCCTGAAACTGAACCCTTGGTTCTCTGCCCCCCCGTAGCCACGCTGAGCATCGCTCCCAACAGATCTCAGTTCTTCCAGCACGACCAGATCTCCCTGAAGTGTGTGGCGAGCTCCAGCGGCTGGACGGTGTGGAGAAACACCTCCTATAAGGCGTTGGATGTGTGCCGGTATGGCTGGGGCATCCCGGGTGAGTCCTCCTGCACCATCCAGGATGCCTTTCCCTCGGACACCGGGGTGTACTGGTGCGAGTCTCAGCAGGGGGGCTGCAGCAACGCCGTCAACGTCACGGTGACAGGTGAGCGCCGCGCGCCAGTTGTTTTGCGGTTTAACAGAAGAGTAAAAAAAAAGCCCGGAAACGCGCTCTTTTGTTCTCCCAGGGGGGGCGGTGATCCTGGAGAGCCCGGCGCTGCCCGTCACGGAGGGAGATGAGGTCACGCTCCGCTGTTCCTACAAAGAAGAAGACCAGGATGAGCCCACGTCGGATTTCCCCGCCGCGTTCTACCGGGACGGCGAGTCCATCGGCGCCGAGCCGTCGGGGCGGAAGCTCCTCCGGCGGGTGTCCGAGTCGGACGGAGGCTCCTACGAGTGCGAGCACCCCACCGGGAGGAGGTCTCCACGGGGCTGGCTGGCCGTGTCAGGTGACGCCTCATTGGCTGCACGGTCTCCTCTATATTAATACTGTAGTTTGATTGTTATCGCGCCTGAAGAGCGTCTCCTGTTCTTCCTCTCAGCGAGGCCTCCTACTCCTCCTCCTCCAACTCCTCCTGCTCCACCCTTCATGACTGTGCCCAAGCTGCTGTGCTCCACCCTGCTGTTCGTCCTCTACACCGTCATTCTCATCCTGTGCATAGACGTGTACCGGAGGAGGGCCCGAGGTAAGAGCACCTCTGGAAGGACCATAACGGAGAAGAAGCTCCTCTTCACGCTTCATAGACCTTCATCAGCTAAATGTACCCAATGTACCTCAAGTATTCAGAGTGTTGACGCTGCAGGAACACGTTGTGGTGCGACTGCGTGTCAATGTAGAGCTTGTTGATGCCTGTGGGTAAATGTGTTGGTAGCTTTGCAGCAGATAGAAACGTCTCCAGGCTCTGAGGTCATGAGGTGGCTTCACTTCCTGTTTCACTGACGCGTGACCGAAGGCCCGCCCGCGGTCACTGGTTTGATTCGTTTGCACCGTTTCGAATCAGCACATTTGGAGATCCGTGGTTAACAGCGGACAGGAAGTCACAGCGACGGCGGTGAAGTGAAACTGCGTAGAAAGCAGGAAGCGAGAGAAGGTGTTGATGATTCTGTCCTCTGGTCCTCCTGCAGCTAGAGTGAAGACTAAAGGGAGAGCAGATTGTGCCGAACTGGAATGAAGGAGAAGAAGAAGAACCACTTCCTGTCACGCGGTGCAAATGTCGGCCAATAGCAGTGCGAATGAAGCAAAGTTCTTTTTCATTAATGTGTTTTTCTAAAATTGTGAATTTTATATGTTTTTATCGGGTCTTTGAAGCCAAAAGAGAAAATACATCTGCTTAAAAAAAGCTTCTGTTCTTGTGTCTTCATTTATTTCCTCTTTAAATTCCCTCGTGGTTGAGACGCAGTAACCGGCCAGCAGACGAGCCGCCCGAGAATATTCACGTCCCATTGAAATCAACACATTTTTTCAAAATACTTTTCGATTTTTTTGCACCTAATATTTTTTTGGACATTTTTTCCAAACATTTTTTGACCTTTTCTTCCCCTCATGTGTTAGGGTGGGGGGTGAGGTGAATTTGGTGGGCCCAAAAGCACACGCACGGCAGTCTTGGATCTTCAGCCAAAATTTGTTTTATTTTCTCACAAAAAACAAACAAGGGGAACACGGGAAACAGAAAGGCGCTCCTCTGACTCAACTGGAGTCGGGAGGGAAACTCCACCGACGTCTGGCGGTCTGGGGTGGCTCAAACAGGGTCTGGTGTGGATACCCGAGGCCCGACACCAGATTCACAGTCCAACTCGAAAAAAAGGCAGGTTACGTGCACTCCGTGGGTCTGACACCAAAACAAACCAAACCAAACCAAACCAAACCAAACCAAAAACATGAATCAACTGGTCTAGCTGCTGTATCTCAGTATCTACGGCACCTGAGACCAGCCTGGGTACTGGGACGGACTGACGACGAGCCTCTGACAGCAGGAGCCTTTATACTCGTCACCAGTGATCCCCGGAATGAGCCACAGCTGGGCACGTGGGAGAGGGGCGGGGCCGGAGGCGGAACACACAGGTGGAAACTATAGGTGGAAGAAACAAAACAAGCAAAAACAAAAGCACAGACTGGGGGGAAAAACTGTTAATAAAACCGGGTCCCTAACATCATGACCTTTTTGGACTCAACATATTAGATAATTTGACATCAACACACGTTTAGTTGGCCTGTGACTGGTGTCGATGGTGTTTCTCTCGCCGACCCAAAGGACCACGCCGCTCTCATGATGAGGAAATAAAAACCCTCCGTGGCTTTAAATGTCACGACCAGTTAGACCCGTGATGCCAGCTGACTGGTTCAGGTGAGTGTCACCTGGTGAGTGTGAGTAGTAGGAAGCAATGACGTGAAGCATTGAGGAAGAACCGGTTTCTGTCGTCCGCGTGGTGGAAATCCTGCGGCTATAAATAGCACATTTGAGTATTTTCTCCCAAACACTGGAAGTATTAATGACGGCAAACAGAAACCATGATGTCACACGGTATTTAAAGCTGCACCTATTCAAACAAGACTGTTTCCTCAGTTTGTCCCCCGTGTGTTCTGTTGCCGTGGCAGCGATACGTTTAATAATAATCAATCCACTCAGTTTCCTCCTGATTTCTGCAGTTTAATCCTTAAATCCACGCTGCTTCCTGTCAGGCGTTTCCCATCCTCAGCGTGGAGTAGAAGGACGGATCATCTGAGGAGGACACGTTGGGAGTGTTAGCGGGCGGCGAGGGGGTGGACAGAATAACAGAGACACTATGTCATTGTCAGGAATGTTCCTGGGGAACACGGGGGGGGTTTCCTTGAGATGTGACGCGCACTTTTAAAGAGGAAATAATCCATCGGTCCATCACTTTGATTTATAAACCCTGATTCTCTGTCCTCATTGATCATCAACTTCAGCATCAAATATCAAAGCAGGACTCTTCTTATCTTTAAACTCAACAATGATTCACTCAAATGTGTCAACGGTCAAAGTCACTGCAGACTCTGTATTTGATGAAGTACTTACTAGATGTACTTTGTGTTTCCACTTCTTGTACGTTTACACATAAAACCAGGCAGAGAAACACAAACATTTATGTATTTCCTCGTCATGGTGTCCGTCAATGACGTCGTCTCTAAGATGTTCGATCAGCAGAACTAACGAGAAGAGGAGCTGCATGAAGCGACGTCCACAGAGCGTCTTCTGCATGTCCAGAGACACACTGAGACACACACAGAGACACACACAGAGACACACAGAGAACTGTAGAGACACACAGAGACACACACAGAGACACACAAAGAACTGTAGAGACACACAGAGACACACAGAACTGTAGAGACACACAGAGACACACAGAGACACACTGAGAAACACAGAACTGTAGAGACACACAGAGACACACAGAGACACACAAAGAACTGTAGCGACAATAGAAAACAAGTAATGAGTGACAGAAATACGACAACAGACAAATAGAAAGTGGATCGGCCTGACGGGGAGCGGCGTTCTGCGATGATTTGTTGCTGTGGCAACGGATACTCACACCTTAATAGATCGATAAGCTTTGTTTGTTTACCTTTCGGGGCGGCGGGGGGCGGGGCTCCCTGCGTGACGGTGACGTCGCTGTACGACAGCTCCTCGCCTGCAACGGTTCAACGAGTGAGAGTCAGAGGGCAGGAAACAGGAAATGGATTCATCTTTGAGTCACCCGGCTGACCTTTGCGGTTCCTCCACAGGAAGAACACCAGCAGCACCAGCACCGCCAGCACCGCCAGCACCGCCAGCACCGCCAGCAGCGAGAGGCCGACGCCCACCTCAGGATGTGCGAGGGTGGGGGTCGGGGGGTCGGGTCGGCCTGCTTCAAAACACACACAGCACAGTAAACCGTCTTAAAGACTTTAACGTCGGTAAAGATGGTAAACTCCCATTCAAAATAAACACCAGAAAAATCCTATTAGACCTTTTCAATGACCTCATTTCCTCCTGCGTTCAGGTGGAAATGGTTTTCGGGGCCCTTAAAGGGACAAACCGGTTACCTGAGGTCATATTTATCAGCCTGGATCGCTTTGGGCCGAGATATCGATGTTGGACGTTCCTCTTTCCTCCAGTAACGTGGAATAACTACAGTTAGCACGTTGGTGCTAGCTGAGCTAGCGGCGTCAAGTGTAGATGCGCGCCTCCCTCTCGGCCCTCCAGATGGTCGGAGGTCCACGCGGAACACGTGACCTCACCTCTGACCTCACCTCTGACCGTCAGCCGGCTCGCTGCGGACCCTCCGGCGCCGGAGACGTCACACCTGTAGAGCCCCTGGTCCGCCGCGGAGACGGCGTGGACGGTGACGCTCCTCGCGGGGCTGCCGGCGACCAGGAGGCCGTCTTTGTAGAAGTTGGCCGGCACGTCGGGGGAGAAGGTCGCCTGGGTTCTGCAGCGAAGGGTCACGTTGTCGCCCTGCGCCACGGGGAGGGCGGGGCTCTCCAGGGTCACGGCGCCGTCTGAGGCACCACAGAAGAAGAAGAGGCTCGGCAGCATGAATAACCACCGCGTGGTCTCCTCTGCTCGGCCTAGTTTTGGTAAAGTCGCTCTAAATGGACCATAAGTCACTAAATGAGCATCATGCTGAAACTAGATACGTGGACACGGTGTCCTTCAACCATAGAGACCTACTTCTTTCTTGTTAAACCCACCGGCCACAAAGATGGCGACGGCCTCCCCGCGCCGCCGCCCCCCCGCCGACTCACACCAGTACGTCCCGGAGTCCAGCGGGTAAAGGTCCTCGATGTGGCAGCGCGATCGGTCGGGTCCCTCTGCGCAGTCTTGGTTGGCCCTGGCGGTCGTGTTCCTCTTCACCCTCCAGTCGGGGGGAGCCGCCGGCCCCCCACAGCTCAGAGACACCGACTCGTACCTGAAGAACTGGGATCTGTCGGGGGCGACCGTCAGAGCGGCTGCAGGAGGAGGAGCCGCTTGTTACTGAGCCTGCTCCTCACTCGCAGAGGTCGCAGAGGTCGCAGCCAGCGCCTCATTCCCCCTTCAATGCAAACGCGCTGGTTTGTCCTGATTATTTATTATTGTTATTATTATTTTCACCTCAGAAATCAGGTCTGTTTTAAGCCCTCGAGATGTTGAAGGCACTGAAGGTCCTTCTCTCCTCCTGCACTGGATAAACACGCGTGTACATTGTTCCTCTGTGTTGTATAATATGTTTTATTTGCCACCCCCCCCCCCCCACACTGAAGGTGAGAAAGTAGCAGCGTGAAGAGCCGCTAGAGAGGAAGCTGCAGAGAACAAACATCTGAAGCGTGCAGTTCTTTTTATTTTTTAAGAAAACACAATATTAAGATTGAATATATGATTAAACCCTAAGAGTGAATTTTCAATATGAATGTATGAATAAACACCAAAGATGCACGATGACAAACACATAAACAAGCCTGACGGGACGATCCGGAGTTGCGCAACGTCCTGTTTCGGCATTTTCAGTTGATGACAAACTTTTTACTTTCTTTAAACTTGTAAACGAGAGAGAAAACGACCCGTATGAACAGAACCAGCACTCACCGACCACGGCGCACAGTGTCGGTATCCCCATGGCGGCGCTCTGACTGACTGACTGACGGACGGACGGCGTGTGACGCCTGCAGCGGACGCTGACGTCACAGACGAGGCCGTGGCCTCCTTCTCCCCCGATGACCTTGATCGCTCCTTGCTTTGTTTCCACAACACGTTAATGAGCAGAAGAAGGTCAGAGCTCAGCTGAACAATATGTATATATATGTATATATGTATATATAAACAATAAACAATATGTAATATAAACAATATAAACAATATGTATATATATGTATATATAAACAATAAACAATATGTAATATAAACAATATAAACAATATGTATATATATGTATATATAAACAATAAACAATATGTAATATAAACAATATAAACAATATGTATATATATATATATATATATATATATATATACATACATATTGTTTTATATATATACATATTGTTTTTAATATTATATTCACAAAAGAGGGGAGAGCCTAAGAGTGAATATATATATATATATATATATATATATATATATATATATATATATATATATATATATATAATTATATAAATATATAATTATTTAGTTAATATTTTGCCTTCAGACTGATAACTTAAGGATTCCACCTGTCTTATTTCATATTCTTAATAAACACAAGTGTTCAATGCATTTGATCATTTTAAAAAAACAAGCTTTGTTTGAATAATTATTGATTTTAGTTTGTAAGTCAGTCATTATTGTTTTCATTTCTTTATGTTTTATTTAATAATATTATTGTGACCAATAATCACAGACGAGTTATGTGAACAGACAACAAGTCTAAAAGTAAATGAACACAAACTTTCATTGGGACCCAAATCAATACGTTTCTGTTTAGAATTAACGGGAACACTTGAAGTCTGTGTGTTGGTGGTTTTATAAAACTCTTGTTTGACGTCACCCTGACGTCACCACCTGCTTTTTAACGCGGTCGCTACGAGACGCGCCGTTCACAGTCCGCTGGATGTCTCCGTGTCCGCGTGTCCTCGCGCTGCGGCCCCGCGGCTTCCTGCCGGTCCTCTCGCTCGCGCTCCTCGCCCTGTTTTCGGGCTTCAGTTCCGCGGACCGGACGCAGTTTAACGGCTTTTTACGGTACTTTCCGGTTACCCTTCATTACATTACAGGTCATTTAGCTGACGCTTTTATCCAAATGAAGCGACTTGCATTACATTTTTAACACATAGATTTTCACATTTTTGCCCTGGTAGCAATTAGGGGTCAGGTGTCTTGCTCAGGGACACTTCGACATGGGACACGGAGCAGCCGGGACTCGAACCACCAACCTTGCGGTTCCCAGCGCTCCCTCTCCGTCCTGCGCCACGACGACCCTTTCTTTCTTCACGCGGTCTGACTAAAAACCGGTAGTTCGGATCCGTGAGGAGGAATAATCCGGTTTGTGTGTGTTTCCACTTCTTATTGAGCCGTTTAGTGCCGGCTGACCCGGGTTAATGCCACTGTAATGTCGTGCGAGCAAAACAAGGACTAGACTGGAGACTTTACTCAATGTGACAAAGTTTATTTGCAACAAGAGTTCTGTGTCCTGCAGGTTAACGTACACGGACCATTTCAGGCAGTTTAACAACAACATGAAAAAAGGCGCTTAACACAAAGTGCGCTCGTATTATTCAGTCTGTACGAGCATTTTGATTGGTTATTGAGAAGGAGGCGGCTCCTGCTTAGAACCCTCGGAGAGCCTCATTGGAGCACAGGGACGTCCGTCCCTCTGGGCTCCGGGATCATCACGCCGCTTGAGCGGTAGGTGCAGTTCCATGTATGAACATGTTATTCTTAGAATAACAGGAGTTTCCTGTTGAACTGCATTTGACCAAATAGTAGAAGTGCAGACATAGTCCCATTCGTTCTGCTAAGCAATCTGGATGATGGGGGCTGATTTGTTCTTCTGTGCACTGCTGCATGAACGTGTCTATTTCCAATGGCATTCTTGAAAGGCAATCCGCATGGCATCTGCCTGGGCGGTACTTGATAGAGAAATCAAAGCGATGCCCTGTGGCATTTAATTTGTCTCTAAGTGTCTAAGTCTACGTTCATTGGTGAACTAGCGAGTTGACGTTGTTTTGTTTTTCAGTTGAAGTCCGCCGTCTGCAGGTATCCCAGGACGGTGCGTGCGTTTACTGTGGTATCAAATTAGTTTGTGTTCATGAGAGGGACTGGAACACACATAGACTTCCCTTGTGTCACTGCCACTGACCCTTCCTCTACAGACACACCCTCAGGCTTTGGCCCTTCAACTGTGATCCCGCACGTGCTCTCCGTGCCAGTGCAAACAGTTCCAACGTCGCACTCTGAATCTTCTCACTAACTTTGCCGTTTTGCAGGTCACAGAAAAAGCTTGACTTAATTTCTGAATCGTCTGTGATGCTGTCTGCCTCTCATCCCCGTGTCTTATAATTGCTTGAATTACATTATACCCAATTATCGGCTGCTCAGCCACATCTGAGTCACTTGAGACTAACAACTGGGCTAACAGCGGCTCTGATGAGCCCTGGTCTTGAGCTAGTCTGAATTCTATTTCTACCCAGCCTAAGAAGGGTATTTGTGTCTGCCAGTAGGCTCAGTATTGGTGCACTGCAGTGGTGATGTCATCAGTTGGGGCCGATGGCGTCCAGCTTTCTGGATTATTATAATAATGAAAGCGTCGACGTTCTGTGCTTCCCAGGATGCTCTAGTAAACCTGGCGGACTGGATGGCTGATGACGTACTGATTGCTGCTTTACTGTATCTTGTATTTGGTGAGTTCACGTCTTCCTTTGAGTTGTGTGCTAGGAAAGCCAACACGTGTGACTGGTGGCGTTGCTTTAGTCATTTGTTGTCCTCCGTGCACAGCCCACTGCGCTCCCACTGTGATCCAGGCGGAAGAACGCGGCAACGTCACGCTCACCTGGCTGCTCCCTCTGGAGGCCGACGCCCCCCTGGCCTCGCTGTACATAGACATCTGGACCGTGAAGCTGGAGGAGCTCTGCAGGGTCTACCTCTACGACGACCAGTACCAGGATGAGCCGCACCAGGACGAGCTCTACAGGCGGCGGGTGCGGTGCGACCTGGAGCTCGCCAAGCACGGCCGGATCGAGTGTCTGTTCAGGGACCTGCGGCTCGACGACACCGGCAACTACACCTGCATCGCTGGCTTTGACCAGGAGCACTTTAACAGGGGGGCGCAGTCCCTCAGAGTCACAGGTGAGCTGAGGCACATTGTCTGTAGTTCAGATGGACGGTTGCTGTCTCTATTTTCTGCTTCTTTGCCTCTTACTAACAGACAGACTTGTCTGACCACCATACATCTTATTACTTTTTCCTAATTACTCTGAAGATCGTTTGTACCATGAATGTAAGAATCATCATTTATCGGCCAACAGAGACCAAGAACTCCTGTTGCTCTCTGCTGCTCAGGCGCCCAATCTCGAAGGCAGTACCAGTCAATCACGTGCCATCGATTTAAAAAGAAATGATGTCACGCATGCGCTAGATGACCTAAACTAATGCTAATGCTAATTAGCAATCCTTGCTTGCTGACAGACGCATGTCATGTCATGCCAAAGCAAGGGGTGGGGGATTTTTCGATATCTCTCGATTCGCTCTAAAACGATTCGGTCTTGATTCAGAAAAGTTAATTATAAGAATTTAAAAAAATAAATAAAAAAAAGTCTGTCTCGCGCGAGATATTTGCGGAGTGTGAAATTCCTCGCTCGCGAGGTTGGTCTCTGCTCGCGCCAACGTGTTCCTGCAGCGTCAACACTCTGAATACTTGAGGTACATTGGGTACATTTAGCTGATGAAGGTCTATGAAGCGTGAAGAGGAGCTTCTTCTCCGTTATGGTCCTTCCAGAGGTGCTCTTACCTCGGGCCCTCCTCCGGTACACGTCTATGCACAGGATGAGAATGACGGTGTAGAGGACGAACAGCAGGGTGGAGCACAGCAGCTTGGGCACAGTCATGAAGGGTGGAGCAGGAGGAGTTGGAGGAGGAGGAGTAGGAGGCCTCGCTGAGAGGAAGAACAGGAGCTGCTCTTCAGGCGCGATAACAATCAAACTACAGTATTAATATAGAGGAGACCGTGCAGCCAATGAGGCGTCACCTGACACGGCCAGCCAGCCCCGTGGAGACTTCCCCCCGGTGGGGTGCTCGCACTCGTAGGAGCCTCCGTCCGACTCGGACACCCGCCGGAGGAGCTTCCGCCCCGACGGCTCGGCGCCGATGGACTCGCCGTCCCGGTAGAACGCGGCGGGGAAATCCGACGTGGGCTCATCCTGGTCTTCTTCTTTGTAGGAACAGCGGAGCGTGACCTCATCTCCCTCCGTGACGGGCAGCGCCGGGCTCTCCAGGATCACCTGCTCCACTGGGAGAACAAAAGAGCGCGTTTCCGGGCTTTTTTTTTACTCTTCTGTTAAACCGCAAAACAACTGGCGCGCGGCGCTCACCTGTCACCGTGACGTTGACGGCGTTGCTGCAGCCCCCCTGCTGAGACTCGCACCAGTACACCCCGGTGTCCGAGGGAAAGGCATCCTGGATGGTGCAGGAGGACTCACCCGGGATGCCCCAGCCATGCCGGCACACATCCAACGCCTTATAGGAGGTGTTTCTCCACACCGTCCAGCCGCTGGAGCTCGCCACACACTTCAGGGAGATCTCGTCGTGGCAGAAGAACTGAGATCTGTTGGGAGCGATGCTCAGCGTGGCTACGGGGGGGCAGAGAACCAAGGGTTCAGTTTCAGGGCTCTAAAACCTTGAAGCAGCAGGTATTCTCCTCAGGAATCGGTGGTGGAGACCAAAGCAGAGCTCAGAGGACGTCTTTCACCTCAGTCCGATGCTACTTAGGGTGGGGGAAAAAATAGATTTTTCGATTTCTCTCGATTCTCTCTAGAACGATTCGGTCTCGATTCAGAAAAGTTAATAATCGGAATTAAAAAAAAAAAAGTTCATCTCGCGCAAGATATTCGCTCGCTCGCGGAGCGTGAACTTCCTCGCTCGCGAGGTTAGTCTCTGCTCGCGCTCGAAGGTGTTTTCTACGCGCTCGCTGTCTTTCTGACAGTAAGGGGGCGGAGCCAGTCACCATGGTCTATACCTGATTGGTTACAAACCCCGTCTTTGGATTGGCTGGAGTGATGCATCCACGCAACTATAGAAGCCCATTTCCACACTGAAGAAAGGGGATGGAAAGTCGAAATTCTGAGATAAAACGTCAAAAAACTAACGCCCCCCTTCGGTGATCGTAGTGGATAGTAGATGACAACCAGCTACAACCTTCATTTACCATCATTACCGGCACATTAAGAGCAATGCGTCCAGCTCGCAGACCGGTCCGTCAGTCTGAATCTGAATATCTAATAACTTTACCGAACTATGGAGGAGCCCGCGCACATCTTACCTCATTATTTACATTTTCCAAAAAGTCGATCTGTATTGAAAGTTTGCAAGATATTCACAGAGTTGGACTTTTTTCCGGTATTTTACAAATACGGACCGGTCTGAGACTAAGAGCTGCTTTTTCTTCATTTAAAAGAAAAATGATTGTTGATAGAAAATCATATTTGTGATTTTTTTTCTCTTATAAAAAGTAGAGAAGGTAATTCATCTGTTGATTTTCTTTAATTATCAAATAAAGTAGGAAGTGATTAGCAACCTCTGAGTAGCAAACTCAGATTTGAGAACATTTAGAAAATCGAGATGCATCAATAATGGTTTAATCGAATCGTGATTCGAAGAGATTCCCACCCCTAGTAATGACCAAGAATGCGTGCGGTGCTTGTGGCGGTTTTCCTCCTCCTTCCTCCGCTGACCTGCATCTGTTTGATCTCTCTGCAGAGGCCGAGCACGAGACGTCGGAGCCGGTGGGACGGAGCCGCGTCATGATCCCCGTGTGCCTCAGTTGGTTTGTCGCGGTGATCGGCCTCCTTTGTTACTTTGTTGCAAAGTGCAATAACTCCGCTACCTCGTGTGTCAATTCAATGGAAGCCGCGAGACCGCTGCCTCAGCTACAAAGTGGTCCACTAGCATGTTGTTGTTGCCTGAGCCATCTGCAAGTGATCCCACCGCCAACATTAATGACACACTAAAGAGTTAACTATTCCCAGTGAGCACAAGACGTAATTTCAACGTTGAAATATGGTTGAAATCGGGTTGAAATGAGGTCTGAACGTCTAAGACCTCATTTCAACGTTACAACATGACACATTGATAAATGTGTCATGTTGTAACGTAAGGTTGAAAAAGAGACGATGTTAACGTTAAGATTTTCAGAATAATAAATGAACTGGTCGGCGAAATTTGGTCTACGCGAAGACGTAATTTCAACGTATTTACTATTTCGCTTAAAACGTCATAAATATGAAACTACGGACTGTGTGCTGTCAATAAGATGCGTTTAAGACATAATAATGCGGGCAGGTTCAAACATTACTTGTAAACACGTAACTCCGCTCACATCTGTAACGCGCATGCGCGAGTTCTTAGACGCCTGCAGAGCTCCGAGCGGACGCAGCACGAGGCGAAGTTACGGCAGCAGAGCGACATGAACGGGCTGATAGAACCACGACTACCGGCTCCACTGCTCTGTAAGTACGCGAGTGTTTGGATGAAGCACACATGGAACTATAACCGGGTGTTTTACTTGTACTGCCCACCCGATACGGGAAAGACGGCCCTTTTTGTTAAGCTAGTTAGCGTTAGCGCAGGTAGTTTGCTAGTTAGCATGCTAGCTTGGAGCATGCTAGCGTGCAGCATGATGACCTGGACCAAAAGTAAACATTCCAGACATTTTTGTGTGTGTTTGGTGTTACTAATGCGTTAGGTTGTTGCTGTACCCATAAATATTATTGCATTTCACATTGAAAAAAATACGTTTTTAAAGCAATGGTGGCTAAATTGCATTGCAGGGGTGAAGGGCTGAATTCAACAAGTTGTGCTCTGTAAACAAGAGGCCGAAACATTGTAAGTTACTGCTGCTTAAAGCATGATACTGTGTAATATACCTGGAAATGTTACTCCAGAAATACCATAAGTTGCAGATGAATTGTTATCTTGTTGATAATGTAATAAGTGAACAATCTATAAATTAGGGTTCTGACACACCTGCTGCTGCTGTTATTATTATTAGTTTATTACTGTCATCATAAACCCAAATGACCAACTTTGGCTTTGTGCTTTCCCTCCTCACAGGTTTCTGTGGGTGGTGGTTGCATCTGATGGAGGTTACGTCTGATGATGGTTGTCCCTGCACTGGTCCTGCATTACCCCTGTCTTAGTAATCCACAATATTAGAATCATTTCTGTTGTAGGAATTGGATGTACTGTACATCTTTAAATTGTTCATACTCTACACACCTACTGCCTTGCTGTTTTCCCCTCAGGTTTCTCCTGGTTGAAGGTTTTTTACATTTTGGGGTTTAGGGGACAGGATGTTGCATGTTTACAGATTGCAAAGCTGAACAAAATAAAATGATTTGAATTGAATAAACACGTTGACCAGAGGAATCTGCTCCGTGCACTCTGACTCCCTTTACACAAAGAATCCTCAAGTGAGGATGAGGGAGATGCAGCTGATTTCAGGTATACTATCCCAACTCAAGTGACTCAGACCCAAATCTTGTTACAGAATCTAAAAATGAAGTTCAAATGATTCAGAAAAATGGTCTACAAACACAGAATTGTTGTTGTTGAACACAGAAATGTTTCTGCACTTTTAAATCCATAGTTAATTTCCCTGAAATATATATATATTTTTTGTATTTTTAATTAGGAAAAGTGTTATATGTATAGTGTTATATTTATAATAAATGCAAATTAATAAAATAATGTGTTTGTCCTTGTTAAGGGATGTTAACATGACAACTGTGACTAAGTATGTAACTTGTACGTTTCCAGCGAGCAATTTATCCGTTGAAACAACGTTGAAAAGACGTTGCAAATTGGTTCAAAAGTGAAAGTTGTTTCAACGTCTATTCGTAGACGTTGAAAAGACGTTCGCGTATAGACCCGTTTTCAGCGTGATTTATAATATCGGTGGTAAACTTACAAATGTGGACGTAGTTTCTTTTTAAACATCTAAAATAATGATATAGCACACAAGAGAGGACGAAATATTACCGTATTAAAAAATCACGTTGAAATGTGGTCTAAACATAGACGTCTTTTCAACGTCTACGAATAGACGTTGAAACAACTTTCACTTTTAAACCATTTTGCAACGTCTTTTCAACGTCGAGCATAGACGTCTTTAAACCTCTTTTCAACCAAAAAATGCTCACTGGGAAGTTACTATATTGTTCTGTTGTTTGCCTTTTAAGCTGGAATTGCACATTTGATTTGAATGTCTTTAACGTGTATTAATTCAATGATTAAGATGCACGATGACAAACACATAAACAAGCCTGACGGGACGATCCGGAGTTGCGCAACGTCCTGTTTCGGCATTTTCAGTTGATGACAAACTTTTTACTTTCTTTAAACTTGTAAACGAGAGAGAAAACGACCCGTATGAACAGAACCAGCACTCACCGACCACGGCGCACAGTGTCGTTATCCCCATGGCGGCGCTCTGACTGACTGACTGACGGACGGACGGACGGACGGCGTGTGACGCCTGCAGCGGACGCTGACGTCACAGACGAGGCCGTGGCCTCCTTCTCCCCCGATGACCTTGATCGCTCTTTGCTTTGTTTCCACAACACGTTAATGAGCAGAAGAAGGTCAGAGCTCAGCTGAACCCCTCTTTTGTGAATATAATATTAAAAACAATATGTATATATGTGTTATATTTTCATGCCTGCTCCCATTTCCAAAGATTTGAAGCATTTGCTTCATTCTTTTCTCTGGAATTATTTAGTTAATATTTTGGCTTCAGACTGATAACTTAAGGATTCCACCTGTCTTATTTCATGTTCTTAATAAACACAAGTGTTCAATGCATTTGCTCATTTGAAAAAAACAAGCTTTGTTTGAATAATTATTGATTTTAGTTTGTAAGTAAGTCATTATTGTTTTCATTTCTTTATGTTTTATTTAATAATATTATTGTGACCAATAATCACAGACGAGTTATGTGAACAGACAACAACTCTAAAAGTAAATGAACACAAACTTTCATTGGGACCCAAATCAATACGTTTCTGTTTAGAATTAACGGGAACACTTGAAGTCTGTGTGTTACTGTTTTTATAAAACTGTTGTTTTCACAGTCACGCGGTTGTTATGTTGCTATGACGCTTATAAAAGAAAGTGACGTCACCCTGACGTCACCACGTGCTTTTTAACGCGGTCGCTACGAGACGCGCCGTTCAAACAGTCCGCTGGATGTCTCCGTGTCCGCGTGTCCTCTCGCTCGCGCTCCTCGCCCTGTGTTCGGGCTTCAGTTCCGCGGACCGGACGCAGTTTAACGGTGAGTTCGGCTTTTTACGGTACTTTCCGGTTACCCTTCATTCATTCATTCATTCATTCGTTCTGTGCGCACGTGTCGCTCACGCGGTCTGACTAGAAACCGGTAGTTCGGATCCGTGAGGAGGAATAGTCCGGTTTGTGTGTGTTTCCATTTCTTATTGAGCCGTTTAGTACCGGCTGACCAACATTAACCCGGGTTACTGTAAGCGGGCTAAAGTTGGCTTCCTGTTCATTGTTCTACTCCTCGTTTCAGAGTCGGGTGGTTCGCTTCTCTAAAACGTCTTTACGAGATTTGTACATTACACCTTTTTAGTGGCGTTAAACCAAACTACTTTTTTCCCCACATATTCAAAAAGATGTAACGTTTCTAACAATTAAACCGGTCCGATGTGAGTCACAGCAGGATGATCTCTTGCTCCTAATCGAATCTAATCTCTGGTTCTTTTACGCCTCTAATTGGCTCCAGTGGGGGATTCACAGCCTCAGGGTTTGTCCCTTCCGGGCCACTGTAGCGTCATTGTGGTTGCTGGTTATTGGGTCACCCTGAGGACGGAATGCCGTTTTAGTCAAAATTAAATAAATACGTTAATACATGACATATGCATTTGAAATACATCATGAAAGAAATAAATGAGGCAATAAATACATATTAAATACATTTAATTATTTCATGGTACTTTTATTTCATACTCGACTCTGGAAATGAAGAGTGGCATTATGAAATGAAAGTACCATGAAATAATTAAATGTATTTATTGCCTCATTTATTTATTTCATGATGTATTTCAAATGCATATTTCATGTATTTACGTATTTATTCATTAATTTTGACTAAAACTGCATTCATAACCCTGAGGATGGAAGCATCTTGTGACTTCGATCAGGCGGAATCATAACTGCAAAGTCACTGCCCTTGTGACTGTTGGAGCAGGAAAAAATCAGCTGGTCTTTGATTTATGTGACGCAGATCTAAAAGTCTTTGTTTGGACTGTTTTCTTTTCTACGTATAATATCTTTTTTTCAGTTTGCTTGTTCAGCACTAGTGGACCGAACGCTCCTGCTGTTGATCATTCGTAGAACCCGCTTTACTTAATTCTTTGCTCTGTGCCTCCTCGTGTTCCAGATGGACCTCTGCTCGTCGGGCCGAGCCAGCCGGTCGTGGCGTCTCCGGGCGCCGACGCCGTCCTGCCGTGCCGCCTGCAGCCCGCCTTCGACGTGGTGAGCCTGACGCTGGAGTGGTCCATGGCCGACCTGAAGCCCGACCCCGCCGATCCGCTGAGCCGGGTCGGCTACGTGCACCTCTACCGCGGCGGCAGCGAGGTCCCCGACATGAAGATCCAGGCGTTCGCCGGGAGGACGGAGCTGCTCGCGGACGCCCTGAAAGACGGAGACGTTTCACTCCGGATCAAGCGAGTGACGGCGGCCGACCAGGGACGCTACAGATGTCACATCCCCAAGTTGCCCGGCCCGCTGAAGGAGCTGGTCGTAGAGCTGCTGGTTGGTGAGCGCGTCCCTCCAGCACCGCTTCTGTCCACAGAACGTTCCACACTTTTTGCAGACCATCATTTAAACTTGTGGTTTTTCAGAACAAGATGATGATGATGAGACGAAGATTCATCTGGATCCCCAAAGTCTCCCCAATCCAGATGAGGAGGCCGATACAGGTGAGGAAAGCAGGGGATGCTGCGGGGCGGGGCTGCACTGATTGACAGGTCTACACCCTTCAGTCACTTCCTGTCACTGGATGTTAGATATTAAACTTGAGGCTCTAATAAGGACACAAACCAGGGCGTTGCCATGACGACCACATCGACACGTGTCTCACACAGTCTGCTGTTCGTAACCAGCGACTGAAGCCTTTTGTCTGTCGTCGTCAGGTGGTCGGCTCTACCTGGGCACTTTGATCTCGGGGGCCTTCTGCGTCCTGCTGGTCCTGCTGGTCCTGGGGGTCCTGCTGGTCCCGGGGGTCCTGGGGGGGGCAGTCACATGTTCACTTAAGCGCCTCAGAGACAACGTAAGAGAAGCAAATGTTTACATACTGCTGGTTGTGCTGACGCGTTTCTTTTGTAATCTCACTTCTTTCATTGTTCCCACAGCGTCCCGAGTGCGACGGCGCTGCAACCGACCCGCTCGAGGTGGGTGAGAACCATCCGTGAGGACCTCGCCTGGTCCCCCCCCCCCCCCGACACACTCCGGATCACTACGAAGGCCCAGCAGGCCTGTGGGTCCATTTGAAGACTCTAAAGAAGGAAAAAAAAAAGGTGCGGATGTTTGACGTTGCTGCACACGTTTCGGTTGAGACGGTGAGGAAGAGGAGCCGTGAACAGTCTCTTCATCTCCACGAGATGGTTTAGCTCTGTTAGCTTAGCATCGTGTTGCCTTTAAAGAGTAAGGGCACAATTTGCGTTGGAGGTTTTTGTTCCCTGTTGTTGTGCGTTTTGTTGCTGTAACGACACATGAAGTCTGTTGGTATTTTGCATGTTTTTGCAGCGATGAAGTTCAGACGTTGGTTTTACTAAAGATGAAAACCTGCTGCGCCTCCATGAGCCGCTTTAATTCATTTGAATTAAACTGATGCGAAGTGGCCTCTTGCACTGTGATGAAAACGATCAGTGAGTGATTTGGTGTTTAATGACTAAATGTTGTAGATTACAGTCCTGAAGCAAAGCGGATTTGACTTGTCACTTTTTTGAATGATGTTCTGTCACGTTCCTGGAAACCGTTTGATGTTTACTTTGTTCTTTTGGTGCAACCAGATTTAAATGACTGAATATCTGTTACAAACCATCTTCCTGTTGGACGTTTTTCTTATTTATTCATACTGATGACATGTGCGATTTATTTAAAACTCACAAACTGCTCTCAACTTCCTGAAAGTGCCTTTTGATCGCTGCGCCTTTTCCCTCCGTCCATTCAAGCACTGAATTAAAACATTTGCACTATAATGTTAAAGCGTGTCAAATAAAGACATTACAACGTCACTTCAGTGTGTAGATGTTTGTGTCTCTGCTGGAGGTCCATGTCGACACGCTTCCTGCCCTCAGTCATGAGATAATAAATGTTCCCCTTGTGACTGCTGGCCACGTGTCACATAACGGTAAATATGGAAGCATCGCTGACACATTTAAGGGATAAATATATATGTGAGCCTGTATTATCACTCATGTGGAGGCCCAGTTTAGATTTGTGTCCTCAGTCATGTAATGTCTTTCCCCTCCTTCAGCTATTGTAGGGGAAAGACCCCCATGTGGGGGTGAGAGGTGTGTGAGACACGTATGTGATTCACAGGCGCGGCCATTTTATTTGTACAGCATTCAAGTGCTTCACATAGAACCATTGGAAGCAGAAACGTCATTAAAAGGTCATCACAGAGGTCGTGTCATCCAGTAATGATGGTCGCCACGGTGTCGGCGTGCAGTTAGCAAGTCCCTCATTGGCCTGCGGTGTCACCAAAGCTGTCGGCTATTGTCTTCATCGCCGAGCGAGTGTCCGCTCCACTCCTCCCCGTCGCCTCCTAGATGAGCCTGAAGTTGTCCACGTAGTTGAAGAAGATGTGGTTCTTCACCGCCCTGAAGATGAAGCGGATGTTGTCGGTGTCCGTGGCGCAGGTGAAGTGGGAGGTGATCACGGTGTCCTCGCGGGGATTGAGGCCGACAAACTTTTCCAGGATGAATTCTTGCGCCGCTTCGACGTCCCGCCGGGGACCTGGTGGAAAGAGAAGGGGCCCGCCGGAGACACCGGGGGGGGGGACGCATGAAAGATAGAGGACACAAGACTGTGACGTGAGAGACATTTACTGGGACCTCTTTTCCAAAGAAACATGCATTTAATCAAGCTGGACTTCATGTATCTGAGGTTGCGATGCTAACGTTAACTAAGTTAACGTTAGCATGACGTTGTACACGTTAACGTTAAGCTAACGTTAAATATCGCTCCAATTATTGCATAATCGTCCAGAAATGAAAGTTTAGAGCAAATCAAGTGGGACCACAAAGCAACTGAATGCTGACTTTGGTGTTTGAACCACGGACGGTTACTGAAAAGTTAATAATGCGTTTGGTCTCTTTGAAGACGGCGTTTCTGAACCAACCAACGGCAGACAGAGACTCTTAAACTGAGCCGCCGTCGCGCTGACCCTCACCATCGTACTCGGGAAAGTAGTCGGCCAAGTGCGAGTGCAGGATCTTCTCCTCCAGCAGATCCATCTTGTTGAGAAACAAGATGACGGAGGCCTGTTGCAGCCACTTTGTGGTGATGATGACCCAGAACAGAGCCAGGCTCTCCTCCAGGCGGTTCTGTGAGGAACACAAAGGAAACACTGAACCCCCCCTACAGGCCACCTGAGCTCACCGCGTCAGAGCGAGATGTTCCTCATCCAGCAGCTGTGCTGCGCTCTACAGAACTCAAGGTCCTCATCAAAAGGACACAAGGATCCTCGGGGGGCAGGAGGACTCACCTCACGGACGGACTCGAGGAGGACCTCGTCGTACTCGCTGATTGCCGCCAGGAACAGGACGGAAGTGACCTCCTCAAAACAGTGAATCCACTTCCTCCTCTCGGACCGCTGGCCGCCCACATCCACCATCCTGCAGCCACGGGGTCAAATCATCAGGGCGCCACTTTGAGGGCCGCTGTGTCGATTCATCTGTGTTCGAAGCATCACGCGCTCTGATTTAAAAAGTCACGTCTGGACCATTGCTGCCCCCTGCTGGTTCCATTCATGAAGGTCATGGGTCGTGACAATGTTTGAGTCATTTTACCCAAATGTGAACCAAACCCTCACCTGAACACCGCACCCTCCATGTCGAAGGGGTACTCTGTGACCCCCGTTGTGGGCACCCGGACCCTCAGGACGTCCTGCTCGGTCGGCATGTAGGAAGCGTCAGATATTCGCTGCACATCGTCCAGAAAGCTGTCGAAACGGATCAGAGAAGATGGAAGCGAGACTCACTAAGAAAGAAAAACCTTCGCTGGTGCCTCTTCAGCCTCTGGGAGCCTCAGACAGACAGAAGAAAGAAGTGTGACGCTCACTACTTAGCCGAGTCCGACAGCTGGTACTTCCTCTTCAGACCGAAGCACCGCTGGACCCCCGGGTCGCCCCACAGGCCGCGGACGGCGTCCGCCTGGGAGTCCGTTAGGGCCGCCACGCTGACGGCGTCCACGGCCAGGAGCATCCTGGCGTCGGCCTGAGCAACGGACACCAGGAACAGCACAGATGGATTAGTCCCGTCCCGTCTCAGTTCTCCCAGCCCTCCTCTGAGTCTACCTGGCTGCGGTCCCGCTGGTAGGGGATCCCTAGGGAGTCCATGGCCCGGATCAGGGCCTGCATGGCCGCGAGGACGTTCTGGCGGACGAGCCTGGCGAAGCCGGCCTTCTCGTCGGCGGAGTAGCCGCGGCCGTGGATGATCCTCATCTGCTTGATGAAGGTGCTCTTCCCGCTCTCGCCAGTTCCTGGCCACCAGCACGCCGCGGGGGGAACGACCGCGAGGCGTTTAAGTCACGCGAACGTGGAACCATTTCACTTTCTCACTGGTCACACTTCAAAACCCGAGAGCTGCTGCAGGGACCCGCGTCTTCCTCCCCTGGGTTCCATCTCCTTCGCTGATGTTTACAGCTGCAGTCCACTTCCACCAGCTGTCGTTTGTCAAGTGAGCAAAGTCGGGAAGAGGCGGACCCCCCCCCTTAAAGCCCCCCCAATGAAGCAATACCACAGCAATACGATCCCTAAAGTCCCACTCGAGGACATTAAAATGTACAAATTATGCAGCATCTGTTCTATTCATAAGCAAAGTATGTTACTTTAATATGAATTCTTAAGCCTTATTTTACTGTTATCAAGTAGGAGACGTTCTATACAATCATTTATATCTTCTCCAGGAAACTTGGCTCTTTATTTGTACTTCACAGATTGTACGTACAAAACAACCCTTGGTTCATGAATGAATGCCGTGACGTAGACGTAACGTATGTGGCATATTTCAGATGTAAATGTGGCAATAATAATAATCTGGGAGTAGAGTTTCCTCACCGAGCAGCAGCAGCTTGTATTCCCGTCTGGACTCCTTCTCCTCGCGGCGCAGACGCCTCTCGATCTCCTCGTTGATCCTCCGGGCCTCCTTGGCCTCCGGCCCGAGGCACCAACTGAGGGCCATGGCTGCTCAGTGTGGGGGGGGGCAGACGGGTACCCGGAGGAGGACCAGGTTTCCTGCTGCTGCTCCTCCTCCCAGAGGACAAGCTTTTTAACCCGTGATGGGAGAGGACTCTCACTGGGTGCAGATGTTTTACGTGCACATTATCGGTGACTCTGCTCAGGGTTCACAAAAAACAAGGAGTTCTTGTGCACGGGGAGCTTTTACCTCATTAGTGAGTGTGATTATTACTCTGCATTCTTACATTTATACATGATTGTTGTACAGGATTTCACAAGCACAAATATTGTTGAAAAACATGAGAATATTAAAGATGAATTGAAAGTAACTCATTTATCACAAGAACTGTTAAAACACGACACAAACCCCATCAGGTTTTTATTTACATGTATTTATATTTATTGTTCTTTAACCTTAATTTCTGCTTTATTTAGCTGGTTAGCTGTTTACTCACGGAAATTATACGTGTAAAATTGTTAAATTACAATTTTTTTTTAAAAGACGGAAAAAACGGAAATACACACACGTCATTTCCTGTCCGGCTGCAGAAGAAGATCAGAAGAAGGTCAGAAGGCTCGTTTCCCTTCATGCTGCAGCAGCAGAACTGTTCATCTCTACGGATCCGCAGGTGGACATTTATGACTTTAGGACTTTTAACTGTCAACTACAGAACAACTACAGCGAGGTTGAACAGGTGCGACCTGGAACATGAAGCACGTCAGTGTACATGGATACATATTCATACAGTGTAATCACACAGGAACATGTTAACATTTGGGTTAACTGACGTCGCCCTGAAACATTCACAGATTTCTTCTGGTTCTGTCGCGTCCGGTGGAAAATGACTCCATTAGTGCGTCACGCTGTCGCTCCAACGTGGGCAGCGGGTCTGCGTTTAAGAGCACCGTGATTGGTCCTTCTCCTCCCTCTGCAGGTGCAGGTACCTTCGCGCCGTGCGTTCCGTGTTGTAGCTCCGGCGGGTCGCTGCTGCAGCACCCTGAGGACCGGCCGGTTTGCGGCGTTGGAGGCGGCCGATTGGTCAGTTGGGGGGAGGGGTGTCGCTCTCCAGGGCGTCTGAGATCATCGGGCAGAGCTGAGAGAACGACGGACGATCGTCGGGTCTCTGAAACAGAACCCGGGCTGTAAGTACTGCTGGACGTGTCGGCTGGAAGGAGGTTTTAGCATCGGTGAAATGAACTGAGACATCAACATGATGAAGATGAAGATGCAGCTCACCTCCTGCCAGGTGAGCTGCATGATGTCGTAGATGGCGAGCGGGGCCATTTTGGGCCTGTGCAGGCGCTGCCCCTTGGTTACCATGGTGACCACCTCGTGGTTCTGACTCTGCTCAAACGGCATGCGGCCCTCTGTGAACACCTCCCACATCAGCACCCCTGGAGACACACAAAGGATGGAGGAGAAGCGTCGATCGATCTATATATTGATGTTTGTTGATGTTGGATGGAGGAGAAGCGTCGATCGATCTATATATTGATATGTTTGTTGATGTTGGATGGAGGAGAAGCGTCGATCGATCTGTATATTCATGTTTGTTGATGTTGGCGTCCTCACCGTACGACCACACGTCCGACTTGCTGCTGTATTTGCAGAAGTTAAAGACCTCGGGAGGCGACCACTTCACTGGAAACTTTGCCCCCGACGAGCTGGTGTACTGGTCGTCCAACACGTATCTACCAAACCCAGGTTTCAGGTCAGTGGAGGGGCGGAGGGATGTTTAGACGGGGGGGGGTATTAGTAGTAGTAGAGTACCTGGTCATGCCGAAGTCGGACACCTTCACCACCAGAGAGTCGTTCACCAGACAGTTTCTGGAAGCCTGCGAGATGAAGGAACAGAGACCGTTTGTCTCACAAAGACGTTCCTGGTCCCCTGATGATGAATCTTGGTGACGTAGCTTTCATGCCACAGTGTTTAATAAGTGCATGCTTAGCTTTAAACGATTAGCTTTAACACTACTGGTGGGGGAAGGTGGGCCTGTATCCATCAGGAACGAGCTAGAGAGCATCCTGCAGTTACCAGGTCTCTGTGGATGAAGCGGTGGGCCTCCAGGTGCTCCATGGCCTCGCAGATGTCCAGGCAGATGCTCAGCAAGGACCCCAGGCCGAAGCTGCCCCGCCGCTGCCTGAGGAAGTTCAGCAGGCAGCCGTGCTCCATGAACTCCGTGACGATGTAGATGGGCTTCTGCTGGCTGCAGACGCCGTACAGCTGCACCAGCTTCGGGTGGGACAACCTCCTGGAGAACACGCTCACGTCAGACTGGAGGAACTCCTCCATTTGTTTAAATGAACGACGGCTTCTGAAGCGGTCAGCATTTGTACTCTGTACAAAGAAAATGGACTGTTGGGAAGGCTGAGTGTAACCTGCAGCCTCCACTAGACCATGATCTCATATTGCTTATTCATGACTACTCTATTGCCTTCATACAGACCCTGTAACCATACGTCCAGTTGTAACTAAACCAGGGTTTAATATCGTGGAACCAGTTTGACTTGGTTGCTCCTTGCTCCTTTTCTACGAGCTTTAAGTTATACGGCCACATATGGAGTCTTCACCCGAACGCCATAAACCCTCTTTGCAATGCTCACATCATGACTTTAGCCTCCTCGATGAAGTCCTCCTCGTACATGGCACCCGCCCTGATGGCCTTGATGGCCACTCTGTGCTGAGCTCGCCACTTTCCGAGCCTCACCACGCCGAACTGACCGCTGCCCAGCTCCTTCATGAAGGTCAGCTCGCTGGGGTTGATCTCCCACTTCTCTGGAGGGAAGCAGAGGAGGCTTTGAGGTGAGTCCACGGATGAACACGTGTTGGTTGTTGGATGGAGTCGCTGGTCGGTCTGAACTCACCGTAGCTGAAGCCGGCGGTGGACGGAGCCGACTTGTCCTGCTTCCCTACAGGATACCGCAACCGGGCAACTAGACCTGCCACATGGACCATGAGTTCAGACCTCCAGTTTCATTTGGTTCATGACCAAATACTTACAGAACTAAAATGTTAGCATGGATATAGGAGGTCGCCCCCTGCTGGTCACTACAGAGAAGTAGAGTCATTTCCTCATAGACGTCTATGGGAGCAGAGGAGTCGCCCCCTGCTGGTCACTACAGAGAAGTAGAGTCATTTCCTCATAGACGTCTATGGGAGCAGAGGAGTCGCCCCCTGCTGGTCACTACACAGAAGTAGAGTCATTTCCTCATAGACGTCTATGGGAGCAGAGGAGTCGCCCCCTGCTGGTCACTACAGAGAAGTAGAGTCATTTCCTCATAGACGTCTATGGGAGCAGAGGAGTCGCCCCCTGCTGGTCACTACAGAGAAGTAGAGTCATTTCCTCATAGACGTCTATGGGAGCAGAGGAGTCGCCCCCTGCTGGTCACCACAGAGAAGTAGAGTCATTTCCTCATAGACGTCTATGGAGCAGAGGAGTCGCCCCCTGCTGGTCACTACAGAGAAGTAGAGTCATTTCCTCATAGACGTCTATGGAGCAGAGGAGTCGCCCCCTGCTGGTCAGTAGATCCTCTCGTTAATGTCCAGGTGGCCACGTCAGTAGTGAACGCGGCGTCGGCGGCGATGTTCACCTGCCGCGTTGTGTTTGTGGTACTCGATGAGTTCGGGGACGGAGCTGAACAGGTGCTTCTCAGCCAGGTAAAACTGCGGCGGCGATGTGAGCGTCTCCTTGATGTGGTAATGTTTGATGCATGCAACTCCGCTCCTGCAAACACACAACAATCATTTCACGGGCAACAATAAATAATCACTGACTTACATCCGGCTCATACAGACTTTTATTGCAAGAAGCTGCAGGTAGTGATGCCAATACAACGTCACCTGTTTTGTTCAAATTCCCTCAGACCCCCCAAATAGCCCCCCCCCCACCCACCCTAACACCCCCCCCCCTCCCGGAGGAGAGGAGGTGAGTAGAGCGCACAGTGTCCTCACCCTGCGCCGGACTTAGTGTACAGCGACACGGTGAAGGCCCCCGGGGTGCTGGAGTCTCGGACCACGAAAGCTCCTTCTTTGTCCTGCAGGGGGCGACGGAGGAGGGGGGAGGGAGGGAGGAGGGGGGAAGGGGGAGGGAGGAGGGGAGGAGGGGTGGAGGGAGGAGGGGAGGTCAGACATCAGTTTGGTTTCATCCACATGACGGAGTGTGAAAGGAAAGAAACAAAGCAACGTGACCAAATCGCTCACCTCCTTCCTCAGCAGCTCCTCGGCCTTGTTCCTGTTGACTTGTTTACTGTACCAACTAAAACAAACAACAACAAACACCTCAACGTTGTTCTACGGGCGATGCGGCGCGTGTTGTGTTACACGGAACGAGGTGACAGACGCACCCAAACTGCACCAGGCTGCCGGACTTCCGCTCGGTGACGTAGTTGCTGGGGATGTATCCGTCCTCCCTGTGGGACACACGGAGACGGGTGCTCAGGCTTCACGCGGGGGACGGGGGGGACTGAGGGGACGGGGGGGACGCCGTGGCGGGAACTCACCCCTGCTGGTTGCGCGCTTTGTACCAGTTGGCGTCGCACTTGTCCAGGATGACGTACTCGCCCCCTTTGACCAGACTCAGGTCGTGCGGCTCGGTGCCGGGGAAGTCGTACAGCGCCACCACCACCTCCTCCTCCTCCTCCTCCTGCTGCTCCTCTTCATCGTCGCCCGGGGGGAGAGGGGGCGGGGGCCGCTGCAGGAGGAGGAGCAACGTGTGTGCCGGTTTGTGCGTGTGTGCGTGTGCGTGTGTGCGTGTGGTTACCTTCTTGTTTCGCTCGTCTTCAGGAATCGGCGGTAGCGGTTTTCTTGAAACTTGAAAAAAAGGAGGAACAGAAACTTTAAACCAAGCAGAAAGTACTCAGCAGTTTGACCTCTGACCTCTGGCTGCCGGGTTCCACAGGTGAGCAGCCAGTGAGGCGAACTCTCTGGTTTCCTGTTTTTAATTCTCAATGGAGCGTCTCAGAGGTCTTTCTGACGCAGTTTTAGTGCGTTTACTAAAGAAACTTTATATTACTGCTGACTGGAGGTGGAAGTACTTTAATTACTGCAGTGTACTTCAAGCCCTACAGGTTTAATGTACTTCACTCAACCATAAATGTAAACTATTCATAGTATTATTTGAAAAGTACATAGGAGCTGAACTTTCAAGTTTAAAACCAGTAGAACAGGCGGGTTTCTTACTGTCTGCAAACAGGTTGTACTCCTCGCAGCCGGGCGCCAGTTTCTCCGCCTGCCGGCAGCAGAGCCACGCCCCTTCCTGCCAGAACTGAGGGTGGAACTTGGCGGAGACCACGGCGTTGTCTTTGATCTCTGCGGGGAGAAGGAACCAGGATCTCGTCTTCGATGGAAAGCAAACACGACGTGCGTTCACGCGAACTGGAGGCGAACCGGGAACGCCGCCGGCGTTTTAGCGCCTCGGCTCATGTGGCGCCCGGACATGAACCCCTCCTTCAGCACATCTAGCAGACGATGGTCCATGTAGAGACTGGAAACTTTAACCCCCCCGCCGACACGTCGGCCACCACAACCCCCCACGTGTGAAACGCAGACGTGTGGTTTTAAAAGGGCGAAACCGTCTCAGGCAGCGACTCACACGTTCACACAGCGTAGAGTAGAATAGAGTAGAGACTGACCCTCCTTCAGGCTCTGGACCCACATAGAATAGAGTAGAGACTGACCCCCCTTCAGGCTCTGGACCCACATAGAATAGAGTAGAGACTGACCCTCCTTCAGGCTCTGGACCCACATAGAATAGAGTAGAGACTGACCCCCCTGCAGGCTTTGGACCCAGATAGAATAGAGTAGAGTAGAGACTGACCCTCCTTCAGGCTCTGGACCCAGATAGAATAGAGTAGAGACTGACCCCCCTTCAGGCTCTGGACCCAGATAGAATAGAATTGAGTAGAGACTGACCCTCCTTCAGGCTCTGGACCCACATAGAATAGAATAGAGTAGAGACTGACCCCCCTTCAGGCTCTGGACCCAGAGGCTTCTGCTGTCGGGGTTGGGGGCGAACACGTAGAGGGTGTTGTTGTCGTAGACCACCTGCACACAAGCAAAGCTGGTTGAGAAAGAACATTTGGAACATTCACGTCCAAAATGTTTCTTTAATGATTTAAATGATGTCGTTCTTTATTTTGTTGAGCTTAACAGTTCGTTGTTTAGTCCAAAAGTCCTCAAGAGGTCCGTCTACAGAGCGCTGGTCCAACTGAGAGGACTCATCTGCTGATGGAGGCCATGGGGGGGGGGGGCGCTGCTAACTGCTCTCTTTGGCTTCACCAAAGCATCATGGGAAACGTAGTTCTAGAATATAGAGCGTGGTGATTTGGCGGCAGCGAGGCGTCTCTAAAAGCAGAGTTTTGGTTTGTCCCCTCTGGTCCTCCTTAGAAACATGGCGGACCCACTTCCAACGTGGACTGGGGGCTCGTTCTGTGCTGATATGAAAGCACCACGGTTCTTAGTTTCTGGGGATTTACACACCAATTAAAACGTGGATACGAATATTTTGTTGGACACCGGCCCTTTAAGTACAAGTTAGACAATGAAGAGTTCTGTTGAAGCAGAACAGTGTCAAAGTCTGACAATCTCTAATCCACATGATCCAAACGGGTTCAGCGTGACGTCCAATCAGAGCTCACGTTACGTAATAATCCATCAAATCAAAATACGTTTGTCCAACTTTAGTTTCTTCTTTTTGCTCATTGGAAACAACAAAGTCGTACTAATGCTCTGGAGTGAGACACCCAGCAGGTGGACTGAAGGTGGACTGGAGGTGGACTGGAGGTGGTGGACTGAGGTGGACTGAGGTGGACTGAGGTGCGTCGGTACCTGGAAGGGGTATTTGTTCTGGCAGGGCATGATTCCTCCTCCGTGCTTCACGATCTCGGCGCATCGGATGCGTCTCAGCTCGATCGAGCCTCTCTGAAACTTCCTCTGTTGGTGAAAACGTGTAAATAAATAAATAAATAAATAAATATGTGTGTGTATTCATGAATATTAGGTCGGCGAGACGCCTCGGCGCTGAGGCACCTCTCTCCGTCCATCGTAGTACGCCAGCTGGCTCTCCGTCAGGACAAACAGTCGCTCCTTGTAGTTCAGCGGCGACGTCCTCTTCTTCTGCTGCGAGCGCTTGATGAGCGTCTCCTCCAATAGCAGCCCGGCACTCATCGTGGCCCCGCCCACGCCCTCAGCCCATTGGTGGACGTCGTCAGAACACGGCAGCCTGAGCTGAAGAGAAACAGTACTATTGTGTCTCTCTGCAGTACTATTGTGTCACTCTGCAGTACTATTGTGTCTCTCTGCAGTACTATTGTGTCTCTCTGCAGTACTATTGTGTCTCTCTGCAGTACTATTGTGTCTCTTGTGTCACACAGAAATAATCATAATATTTTTAGGACTATCAGGATAAATATCGGATCAAACAACAAACTGAATAATCTAATTGACAATATGAGAACAAAAAGATTAAATCTTAGTTGTAATTGTTTTGTGATGCACTTCAACATATTTGTTCATGTTTGTAAAAGGGAACATGAATCAATGTTTTATCTTCATTCATTATGACGCGTTCAGAAACATGTTTTATGTAGTTTATAAATAAGTTCCTTCACAAGTACAATTATGAGGTACTTTACTTGAGTATTTCCATTTACACGACATGTATTGAACCACACTTTGCACGTCATTGATGAATGATAATGATTGATTAATAATATATATATATATTCTTAAATGAGTCTCTGCAGAGGGAGTAATTGTACATTTGGTACTTGACGTGTATTTTGATGCTTATACTTTTACTCTTTATAATTACAGTATTTTTAGACTATATTACACTATCGATACTTTTGGTAAAGTACTTGTTTATGTCGTTTCTAACTTGCTCTCCGTGTTTTCCGACAGCACCTGAACGCAGCAGAAGGAAGAGAAACACCTGCTCTCAGGTAATTAAATGGACGTTAGTTCACGTTCCTCGCGATGTGATCGACGTCATTAAACGTGCATTAAGTCAATCAAACATGACACAGGATCCACATTGTACTTTACACTCCACGTTCCACGTTTCATGACTCGTTTCATGAATAAACGTCACGCGGCTTATTCCTCACGGGCTGTCACGATACGCGAGTCGCTTCATTCTGTGATTCACGCTTCGCGTCCCACGTGTCGCTGTTATTCCCCGTGCGGGAAGAACTCGTTTGACGGAGCGCTCGAGTTAAGTCGAGTTAAGCTGAGTTAAGTCTAGTTAAGTCTAGTTAAGTCTAGTTAAGTCGAGTTAAGTCGAGTTAAGTCGAGTTCGTGAGGAGATGCAGCCGAGTGACGTCATTTGAAGTCCCGTAGTCTTTCTCACCTTCCGTCGGGGCGTCGCCCTCCTTTGATCCCTCCGGGCGGCTCCGCTCCCCACGAGCTTCTCTCACAGGCGCGCGCGCTTCAGGAAATTAAGACGAGGGGGCGGACACGCGCGCACACGCACAGAGGGGGGGGGGGGGGGGATCAGTGCGCGTGCGTGTGTGCGCGTGTCAGAGAGGAAGAGGTCGGATCGTCTTGAATCAGTGGAAAGAAATACGAAACGCGCTGCGACGTGAGTCTGCAGCCCGGAGACGCTTTTTACTTCATCTTTTACATATAAAGTGTTTTTGAAACAGACAGAATTTGAGCTCAGGACATTTTTTGTATGTAAATTCATGTTTTTTCTAGTGTTGAAAATCACATCAGTGTTTCAGGAAGTGAAGAAAGACTGAGTGTGTGCGTGTGTGTGTGTGTGTGTGTGCATGTGTGTGTGTGCGCGTGTGTGTGTGTGTGTGTGTGTGTGCGCGCGTCACACTTCCTGTGTGAACACGTGATCCGGTTCTTCATTCATGGCAGCATCGCTGTAATCATTCTAGTGTAAGAAGTAGCAGCTGGAGCCACATTCGTTAATTAGGGGCCATTGTTTGGATTTGTTTCTTCCTGATGCGTTAGAGGACGCTCGGACATCTGAGTGTTAAACTGAACAACAACATCGACTCAATAAATCAAATACATGATTACGTTTCTCTTTGAGCGTCGCTCCTCGTGCGGTTCCGAATATCAGGAGACATTCAGCACATCATTTAGAATCTGGTACATTAAAGGCACAACTTTTACAAAAAATATGTCTGCGTGCAGTTTATTTCATTATATGATTTTCCATAGAATGTTATGATACATTATTCTATTGAATGTTATAATATCTTATTCCATGGAGGGCTGTGATGTATTATTCCATATAGTTTTATGATATATTATTGCATATATTCTTATGACATATTATTCCATAGAGGGTTACAATGCATTATTACATAGAACCTTATGATATATTACTCCATATAGTGCAATGACATTTCTCTGTAGTCATAAAACATAACCTGCTTGGCAGAAATAACAGAGAAGAAGATGGTTTAGAGTTTTTTCAAAGATTAAAGATGCAAAGATCTGTGTTTAGACCAAAAGAGACAAAAGTTTTAACCTAAACGCTGAACATCAGGCCCCCCATTGGTCAAAAGATGTTTGTCAAAATAAAAGCCTTTTCATGAATTGGATGCTTGCATCGTGTGCGGCCATGTTGTTTTTCATGGAGTCGCCCTGAGACGGATGCTCGGTGGTTTCCATTGCGTCACCCTTTCACTTCCTGTCTCTCTCGCTGACATGTTTCCCACCTGAGTGGCATCACATCGGTGAAGGCAACCGGAGACACGCTGACCTCGACGGAGCGGGAGAGGAACATGAAGAGGAGCTGAAGAAGAAGAAGAGCGTCAACGCGAAGGCCGTCATGATTCACTCAAGTAAGCAGCTTTGAAATAAACTTGAACAAACAGACTTTTTACTTTGAGGAGAAACCTTGAAGACCACAAATTAAAGTGGATGAATGTCAACGTGTGACGAAAAAGGTTTGACAGGAACTAGGACGTTTGGTTTCCGTGGGCTATATGTTTATATATATATGTATGTATTATTATATTAATTAGAATATCTCCTTCTGGAATGTTTTGCAGAAGTACCTTAAGATTCTGTGTTAATATGTTCATCAAATCCACATAAACTCGTCTTCATTTATTCCCAAACAGCTGTTTGTTCACAGAGAGTTTTGTTTCTCCGAAGCGCACAGCTGGAACTCTGGGGGCTTTTATTTTGGCGGGTTGATCACGTGACAATCTGTAGGCGTGCGTTTGTCTTCAAATTAGTTTAATTCACTTAAGCTGTAACAGGAAGACGTGTGAGACAAACTCCGTAAAACGCACACAGAACCATAACAAACACACACAGACGCACACACACACACACACACACACACACACACACACACACACACACACACACACACCTGCAGAGGAAGAAGTGAGTTAGTTAGTTCTGAGGAAAAGGAAACTATACTTCCTGACAAAGACCTCCTACTCAAAACCACAAAGACTTCAACTAGAACAAAACAGTTTATGTACATTAGCATTTTGTTAGTAGTTTATTGTACGTTTTATTGTACTAGTGGTAGAATTGTATCCTGTTTAATATACTATTATATGTAAGAATTGTTGTTTCATTCGAGTCGTTTCATTTTAATCCATCCATCAATTTCATTTTATTGTATGTGAATTGTATAATTTTATATTATATTAATTTATTTGACTTATTTAATAATAAGTTTCAAGCCGTTTTACTACCACTACTTTCATCATTGCTTATTATTAAATATAGATTCATGAGTGTTTTATTGTTGCATGTGCGTGGATCTCAGACGGGGACATTTTTTAGAATTAAGTTCAACGGATTGCAAACTGAGAAAATAAGAATGTGACGTAAAACCTTATCGCACAGTAACATAACAGTTTGATTCGAGTGGAACCTGAATATTTATGAAGTGGTCACACTGCTGTGTTGTCTTTGCTCCTGCAGATCATTCCATCCACTCCGTGTTCTGCTGCTGCTGCAGCGTGCAGAGCAGGTACCAGCGTCTTCTTCTGCAAGCTAACGCGCACGCAGACAGCTGCAAACACATCTGTCTTCTGATTGGTCCTGCAGGGAGATCAGCACCCACGTGGAGCTGGAGGGAAGCAGCTCGCTGTGCTTCGGGACCAGACGATACCCGGGGCACGCCTGCAGGGTAAGACCCGGTGTGTGTGTGTGTGTGTGTGCGCGTGTGTGTGTTGTGTGTGTGTGTTCATCCACGGATGTGTCTCCTCTCAGGGCGACAGGTCCAGGAAGAAGCTCCCCCTCCCGCCCCCCGACGACGAGCACGCCGAAGGTCAGGGGCTGCTAACCGTCGTCGCCATGTACGACTTCACCGCCAAGGAGGACACCGACCTGACCCTCAAACAGGTACGCACGCACGCACACACACACACAGACACACACACACAGGAGGTGTGTGTGATGATGCGGTGTGTTGCGTCCACAGGGAGAAGAGTACGTCATCCTGCACAAACAGGACCAGCTGTGGTGGAGAGCGCAGGACAAACACGGGTAAGTGAAGGGAAATCTTTTCATTTTGTTCCGTTTGTTAGTTATATGTGTATTATTATATAAGACATAACGCGACCTTTCGTGAAGCGTCATCGTCGGGTCAACCTTTCAACGTGTGACGTACTTTAGCATGCTAACACGCTAAGCTAAGATGCTGATCTCGTCTTCCTCCTCCTGAGTTTAAAGTGGCTGTGTTCTTTCATCAGGAACAAAGGGTTCATTCCCAGCAACTACGTGACCGAGAGAAACCGAATCGAGGCAAACGCGTAGGTTTTATTTCACAATTCATATACGTTTTGTCCTTTTAACTCAAACTGCAGTAACATTGATCACTAGGCCACAATTTAAGTAGCGATTTTGTTTCTGTTTCCTTCCTGCAGGTGGTACTGCAAGAACATCACCAGGACAGAAGCCGAGCAGCTGCTGAGACAGGAGGTATGCTACCCGTCCTTCTACCTGTCCACCCACCTGTGGATCTACCTGTACATCCACCTGTGGATCTACCTGTACATCCACCTGTGGATCTACCTGTCCACCCACCTGTGGATCTACCTGTCCACCCACCTGTGGATCTACCTGTACATCCACCTGTACATCCACCTGTCCATCCACCTGTCCATCCCCATGTCCATCAATCTGTTCATCTACATGTCCATCCACCTGTCCATCTATATGTCCACCCACCTGTGGATCTACCTGTCCACCCACCTGTGGATCTACCTGTACATCCACCTGTACATCCACCTGTCCATCCACCTGTCCATTCCCATGTCCATCAATCTGTTCATCTACATGTCCATCCACCTGTTTATACATGTCCATCCACCCGTCCTTCTACCTGTCCACCCACCTGTGGATCTACCTGTACATCCACCTCTCCCTCCCCATGTCTGTCAATCTGTTCATCTACATGTCCATCCACCTGTTTATACATGTCCACCCACCTGTGGATCTACCTGTACATCCACATGTCCATCAATCTGTTCATCTACATGTCCATCCACCTGTCCATCTACATGTCCACCCACCTGTGGATCTACCTGTACATCCACCTGTGGATCTACCTGTCCACCCACCTGTGGATCTACCTGTACATCCACCTCTCCCTCCCCACGTCTGTCAATCTGTTCATCTACATGTCCATCCACCTGTTTATACATGTCCACCCACCTGTGGATCTACCTGTTCATCCACCTGTCCGTCTACATGTCCACCCACCTGAAGGGTATACCTGTCCATCTAAATGTCCAACCACCTGTGGATCTACTTGTACATCCACCTGTCCATCCCCATGTACGTCAATCTGTCCATCTACCTGTCCACCCACCTGTTCATACATGTCCATCTACCTGTCGGAAACAATGAATCCATTAGTTAATTTTCAGAACAATAGTCAGCAACTATTTCAATGATTGTTTGAATGTTTCATGTGGCGTAAAGTAATCAGACATCTTTGGTTTGAGGAAACACACAAAACAAGCAACATAACGTACACCGATAATGAAAAAGAGATCAAATGTAATAAAAGTAACAACGGTTTGTTTTCCAGGACAAAGAGGGAGGTTTCGTGGTGCGGGAGTCTAGTCAGAAGGGCGTCTACACCGTCTCCGTCTACACCAAAACATCGATGTGATTCACACCCAACTAAAGATCAACATCCACAGTTACTCTTTGCCCCGAAACTAAACTTTATCTTTGCGTGTGCAGCGCTAGCGGGGTCATCCGCCACTACCAGATCAAGACAAGTGAGGCGGGTCAGTTCTTCTTGGCTGAGAAACACACCTTCAGCTCCATCCCTGACGTCATCCAGTACCACGAGCACAACGCAGCAGGTCGGTACGCCCCCACCCAGCCCTACGTGCTACGCTACGTGCTATGCTACGCGCTATGCCGCTCAGCTGACCCGGTTGGGTGCGTGTGTTCAGGTCTGGTGACCCGGCTGCGGTACCCGGTGGGTCCGATGGGGCGCTGTGTGCCGGCCACGGCGGGATTCAGCTCCGGTGAGGAAATGAAGGCACACAAACACGCGTTATAGCTCACAATTAACATTTTATTAATGATATTTAACACACTAGAAGTTGTCAAGATTGTTTGATTGATCCATGCGTGGACGCCGATGAGGACAAAACTCCCTCCGCCCGAAATATACCCCAAAAACACATAAAGTGCAGTTTTGTTTCTATTTGGCATAAATCTGTTCAGATAATTCTTGATAAACATTTGCAGTTTAAAGCGTATTACCAAGGTCGTTATTAGATAATCTGAAATAACAATAGTCTTTTCACTGAAATGAGCACATAAAAAATACCTTGACACAGTTAACGGTATTAAAACAATGAGCTGAACACACTTTGTTCCTTTAAAGAAGGAAAGGATTCAAGATGACAACATTCTCTTCTGTTTGAACCACATCTCTGTCCTCCTCCTCCCTCCCTCCCTCCCTCCCTCCCTCCCTCCCTTCCTCCCTCCAGAGAAGTGAGAGATCAACCCCAGCGAGCTGACGCTCATTAAGGAGCTGGACAGCGGTCAGTTCCGCGTGATGAGGCTCGCAAGCTAGCGAGCCAGCACCCAGTGGGCCATCAGGGCCATCAGAGCGGGCGCCATGTACGAGGAGGACTTCGTCGAGGAGGCTAAAGTCATGATTGAGACGGGGGAGACGGAGGACAGGACCAGCGCTCGGTGCTCGTGGAGGACCCGTGTGCTGTGTCGTGTCCTCCAGGAGGCTTGCACCGAAACTGTGCAGCTGTACGCGTCTGCCTGCAGCAGCAGCCGCTGCTCATCGTGCCGAGTTCATGGAGAACGCTGCCTGCTGAACTCCTGCGGCAGAGGAGGCAGAGTCTGAAGACGCCGTGGCTTCTGTCCATGTGCCAGGACGTGTGCGAGGGGATGGAGTACCTGGAGGCTCAGAGTTTCATCCACCGAGACCTCGTGAGTACTAATACCACAAGCAAATACTCCACCACGGGCAATATGTACCTCTGAGATCTAGCACGGCAAAAAGTCAAATGTTGACATTTAAAAGGAATATTCGAAGATTGGTTTCTGGTTATTTTTCTCCCATCCAGGCCGCCAGGAACTGTCTGGTGAACGACCTCAATGTGGTGAAGGTCAGCGACTTTGGGATGACCAGGTACGGCTGCCTCTCTATCGGAAGGATGGTCATTGGGATTACTGCGTAAAGGGGTCTCAGGTCGCTGTGACTCTCTGTTTCCTGCCTGCAGGTACGTTCTGGACAACCAGTACACCAGTTCATATGGTGCCAAGTTCCCAGTGAAGTGGTCTCCTCCGGAGGTTCTCCACTACAATAAATACAGCAGCAAGTCTGACGTCTGGTCCTTCGGTGAGGAGCCACCGAGCCTCTTCACAGTCGCTCCAACGGAATAATTCAGGACCTCACGCGTAGCTGGAGGCCGAGTAAAGGAGAGGATGCACACGTTAGCTAGCTTAGCATTAAGTTACAAGTCTCTCATCAGCCAGAAAACGTTCTCCCCCCTGAAGTAAACATGTGTGTACCATGGAAGCAGCGTTGGGTTCATGTGTGTTTGTGTTCAGGTGTGGTGATGTGGGAGATCTACTCGGAGGGCCGGACCCCGTTTGAGAACCGTTCCAACATGGAGGTGGTCAACGAGATCACTCGGGGGGGTCCGGCTGTACCGCCCGCAGCGAGCCTCGCAGCCGCTCTTCTCCATCATGTACCGCTGCTGGCACGAGGTACTCGCCGAGCACGCAGGCGCTATTCGCCGAGCACGCAGGCCTTCGTTTATTGTGTTTCGGCAATGAAACAAATGTAAACTGACCCTCCCGAGGTCGTGACTGCACTCTAAAGCTTCTAGTCACATTTGTTTTGTTACACAGATTTGAGTCACAATTTCCTTCTTCTTTTTCTTCTTCTTCTTCGTTGGTGGCGATGCAGAAGCCGCAGGGTCGGCCATCTTTCTCAGAGCTGCTGGAGGAAGTCAGAAAACTGGCAGAAAATACGGAATAACACTTATTTTTTCTGCTGATTATTATTTCCCATCAACATACACTGAACGATGTCATTGTAAATAACTTGGTTAAAATATTTTATCAGAGCCTTTTCACACAGCGTTTTCACTGATGGGTTTTAGCATTTATATAAGCCCCTACATAGAAAACACATTTGTATATAATGTGAAATAATGTAATGTTGAACATGTGAAGATGTCATTAAACACAATGATTGCCTTTTTGTCCAATTGTACTATTAGTTATAGCAATGGTACTTTTTTTTAAATCAAAGTGTGACTATTTGTACTGTGTACTCACACTGAAAAGGGACCTTGTCTTCAATATATATGTTTTACTTGAATTTTTTGTATATTTTTTATTTTGGTATTTTGTGCATTCTCCTCAACATCTACAAAACAAAGAAACAAACTTCCCCGTGTATTAAATAACTTATCAGATAGATATACTCATTATTTTTCTTCTACAGCAGCATTTATATACACACTTAATGCATATTATCGCCTTAATGACGCGTTGATTAAAGAACATTGAAGCCTTAATGACGTCAGCGGGTGGAGGCGCGGAGCTTCCGGTCTGTTTCTCTTTCTGGATAAACAAATGTTTCTGCTTTTATTTATTCCATATTTGGCTTTCGATAAAAACACTTCAGGATTCCGCTTTTTGGAGACATGTTTAGTGACGTGGACCGACGTATAAAAGGGACGGACCGTCCCGGTGACGTCACGTGCCTTCGCTCTGTGTGGAGACGTTACCAAGGCAACGCGATGCGTGACATCTACGCGCACACAAACACGCACGTTCGCTTACAAAACGTTACTGCAGCGTTGATGACGGAACCCCCGTGCACGGTGAGTTACTGCTCCGGTACTATGATAATACTGTAGTACTGTATGTAGTATATACAGTAGTACAATAATCGGCTCAGTGTTCAGATCGCTTACTGGAGTAAAGGTACCAACAGCAGAATAAATACACTGAAAGTCCCCTGAAAGCAAAAATAATAATGAAAAGGTTTTAAAACTGTGACACGTTTTTAGTTTTTATTGTGGTTTCAGTTCATTTTGATAAATAGATCGAGATAATAAAAGAAATCACATGAAGCCATAACATTGATTTAATACATAGAACAAATAGACTTAATGGTCAGAAACGATGTGTCATCAAATGAAATAATAAGCAGGTTTGTATTTGATGACTGTTGATGACTTTACATGAAAAATAACTTGGTAGATAAAAAGATTCTGAATTAATATAAACCTCGTGTCACGACAGTTTGATTATTTTGTGTTGATGCTTTTGTTAAATGCCTCGTTGTTCATTATTTATTGTGTGCATTCCTTTAAGTGTTAATACGTTATTACTCCCACTACTCTTCTCTGCCTACAGCTACTGTAGTTTTATCTATAAAAGTTTAAGTTTAAACTATATTGAAAATAATTTTTTTTCAATATAGTTCTGCGGTTTATTTAAATGCACAATACTTGAAGTATTTTACTCAATTTTTTTTGAATGTTGCATTTTAATGTGGTAGATTACTAAATTTTAAATGATCATAACATATAATTAAATACACCTTTTACACACATTTGCATGTTTTGCATTATCTTCATTCCCTTTTTTATAACTTACTTTCACTCTTTCTTTCTTATCCTCTTTCTGAACCGGTTCCCTTTCCTTCGTTGGCTCGATCTCTCTCAGTAGACGGAGCCTCTCGTGGCGTCACAGATGAGTAAAGTGTGTGTTTTTTGTGCGTCGTAGTTCAATGAAGTGCGTTTAATGGAGCGCTACGAGTCCCTCGGGCTGGTCGGGGAGGGAAGCTACGGCACCGTGCTCAAGTGCCGCCACCGGGACTCCGGCCGCTTGGTCGCCATCAAGAAGTTCATGGACTCGGACGACGACGCCACGGTGAAGAAGATCGCCCTGAGGGAGATCAAGCTGCTCAGAGTGAGTGTCGATCAATTGATTGATCCTCGGGCCGATCCATCACACTGGAGTCATATGACAAAAGGAAACATTAGAACTGAGCTTCCATCTTTAACATTAACGTCAGCATCTAGAAACATTCCATTGACATATTTAAAAATCGTACTTTCTTATTATTTTACTGAAACATGTTAGTCAATGACTCAATATGTGAAAAGCTAATTTCTCCGTTCTCATCCTTCCAACTGCCAAGCAACTGCGCCACGACAACCTGGTGAACCTCCTGGAGGTGTGGAAGCGCCGCCGGCGCTGGTACCTGGTGTTCGAGTTCGTGGAGCGAACCCTTCTGGACGATCTGGAGCAGAACCAGGGCGGCCTGGACCTGAACACCGGCCGGCGATACCTCTACCAGATTCTCAGGGCGGTGGCCTTCTGCCACCAGCAGAACGTGAGGAAAATCTACCGGGTCTTCTCAAACCCACCACATTTCCCATTGTCTTTTAATCACGTGTTTCACTTCCCAGATCATCCATCGTGACATCAAACCGGAGAACATACTCATCTCCCAAAGGGGCGTGGTTAAGATGTGCGACTTCGGCTTCGCCCGGACGGTGGCGGCGTCGTCCGACGGAGGGGTCTACACCGACTATGTGGCCACTCGCTGGTACAGGGCGCCCGAACTCCTGGTGGGAGACTCTAAGTATGGCAAGTAGGTGTCGGCGTGTGCGCCCCAGGGTGTGTTTGTGTTTGTTGGCTCTTGGTACCGATCTTGACAGGTGTGTATGCGTGTGCAGGCCGGTAGACGTGTGGGCTGTCGGTTGTCTGTTGTTGGAGATGTTAACGGGTCAGCCTCTGTTCCCCGGAGACTCCGACCTCGACCAAATCTACCACATCGTCAGGTGCTTTGGTGAGGACGCATTTACTTTTTTTAAATGCCTCCCTGTCTTCTTTAACTGTCTCAACACAAATGCTCTCTTTTTTGGGGGGGTTCCTAGGAAATCTTACAGCTCATCACCAGGAGTTGTTCCACAGGAATCCCGTCTTTTCTGGAGTCAGACTGCCTGAACATTCTGCCAGAGTCCGACTGGAGCAGCGATTCCCTTCCATCGCACCGGCCGCCCTGGACCTGGCTCAGGTACAGTTGAGACGGTGTATCACTATTCAGAATAACTTAACTAATCAATAAAAGCTCATTGCACAAGAGACATTTTTAAGCCAGTTTCAGATTCCAACTAAAATAAATATCCAAATCAGAAATATTTATTTTTTGTCTCTTTTAGAGTTGTCTCCAGATGGATCCGGAGAGACGAGCTCAGTGTTCAGAACTGCAAGAACATCCTCTGTTCACACAAGACTCTTTCCACATAAGGTATTTTTAAGGTTAAAGTGTGATTTACTTTTACAAAGTTACAGTTTAGGGAATTTCCGTAGGTACTGTAGGTTTGTCCAGTCCATCTTTGTGAACCAGCTCACAAGCATTTGGGGGGAATTTCTTGGGGTGGCCGGCACACCTTTAAATCTGCGTTTCACGGATCACTAGTGACACTATCAGTAAAACCGGATAGGTCGTCTGAAGATTTGAGTAAATGCCCTTGTTCCTATTTCCTTGTATATATTCAGATATTTGGACGAGCTGAACGCCAAGATCCAAAAAGACCACAAACAAAACTCTACCTTCCCCAAAATAACCAGAACGGTAAGACGGGAAAGGAGCGAAAGGGACGGCAAGAACCGACGAAGCAAAGACAAGAAGCAACCCGACAGTGTGGACCTAAAAGTCAACAGGGAAACAAAAGGAAAGCAACCTTTGAAGCTTTCTAAAACCGTTCATAACGCTTCAGAACCTTTGATGTCCACCAAACAAGCCAAAACCGGAGGCCTGAAGACAACCAGCAATGCAGCAAAAACCACTGTGGCCATGAAAGGTAAAACCGGAAAAGCCACCGGTGCAGAGCTGAGAAAGGAACCAGAGATTTCTAAGTTAACTAAAACCCTTACTTCTGATTCATTGGAGGTTGCCAAGACGTCAACTGATCTGAAAGAAAATGCTGCAGTGTCTGCTGAAGCTAAACATGGTGAAATCGCTTCACCAAACCGGAGGCCACACAATGTGAAAACTGTGGATGCAAAAGACAGCTTTTCCAGTGGTTTGCATTCTAGTTGCTCAGACGACATTGTGTCAAGTATGAGTGAGAAACATGTGACGGGGATCAGGAGATCTTCAAAATCCGAGCCAAGTCAAGACTTTGGGAAAAGCCGGAGCAACTCAAACTCAAAAGTGCCCAAATTGTCTAAAAGCTCTACGACTGATCGTCCAAATAAGAGTTTATCTCCAAAACCTTCTCTGAAATTAACTTCTGATTGTAAAGACACCCACTTAACACATAAAATGGGTAAAATATTTAATAGAGAAAACACTGAAGGTTCTCAAGCATCAAGCAATGGCCTCATTGAGGTTGTTACCCCAACCATCCCTTCTGTCAGCAATTCATCCCAAACAACTATGCCTTCAGAGCACCGTTTAAACATGGAGGGGAGACAAAGAGGGACAATTGAATGTCCGAAGGTCTTGCCCCCAAACCCCAGACCACAAAAGACTACTTCAAACATTGGCTCAAAAATGACCCAAAACTATGAATCCTTGTCCAACAGCCCATCAAGAACTCTTACCTCAGATCTTTCTAAACATTCCTCCACAGTTTATACAGAGGCTAATCCTGCCCACAGCAGCGTAACACCACCCAAAGAAACCTCAACTTCAATGATGCACAAAACTGTCTCACCTTCACATCCTAAACACGCAAATGACACCAACAGTGCACCCAACAAACCTTTGAGAGGCCTTCCGACAGACAGCGATCCTACAGAAGTGTCTGTCTCAACCAAAACTCAGCAGGATAGTGTTCACACTGGAAGGAAGGACTGGAAGGAAGCTCACAGATGCTTGAAGAGGAGCCTGTCGACCAAAACAACTGCCAAACACACTGAGATATCTGATGCGTCAGGTGGAGATTACAAAGCGAGTCCTGAGTTCTTGGAGCCCTCCAGTGTCCATCAGGATTTCAGTGCTTCTAAATCCAAGATCACCTCAAACTCCACGGTGAATGAAGTCTCTCAAAGCAACACCTCTATGTGGACCACTATTCTGAAGACATTGAACGTCTCAGATAAAGAGAACAGGGAGGATTTAGCGTTAATAAAGCCTTTAGTAAACTCAAAGTTTTCCAGAAATTCAAATATTACGCAAAAGAGCCACAGCAGGAAAGCTGAACCCGACATAAAACCTGTGAAACCCCCCCCTCACAAGTCTTTGATCGAAGACCCTGAAAAGTCAACAAAGTACAACGCAGCAATGACCCTAAAGCCAACTATGTTTCCCACAGAAGCATTAAAGAAACGAGACAACCCAGAAAGGGACGACGGAACGAATATATCCACAATCGCAGAGTCAGCTTCATTCCTCTCCACAGCGACTCCAGACACCAAAGCTCCAGGAAGAAGCTCGGTCTTTCCCAACAGTGCAGACGTCCATGAGTTTGATTTTGCTGTCCATCCTTCCTCTCTACCACCTCCTCCTCCTCTGTCCTCCACCCCTCTCCTTTTCCCTCCTTCTTCTGCACCCTTCATACCCTCCTCCTGTGTCAACAGCAATCACCTTTCCCCCGGGCCAGAGTTCCACTCGGGGACTCACAACTTTTGGTACGTATATTCCCTCACGCAAATGCGATACACCAAAGAGTAATTTGGGCCTCAGCCAAATATTTGCTTGGTCGCATTGACAAAGTGAGAAGCTAAAGTAAAAGATACTAGGAGCAGTAAAATTGTCACCATTTTGTGCCATTTATTTGTCGCCATTTTGGAGAGATATTCAATGATCCACCTACAAAGCTGTATGGATAATCGGTAATACCAAACATGTGGATGTGGTGTTGATTCAGAAGTCTGAACCAGCCTAGAAATTCTAATACTTCTAATTAATAAGTAATGTTAAAACTATTAGGACCAAACCACGCACCAAAAAAAACCCAATTTGCACTTCAAGTTCTTTACTCAAATCAAATATTTGATGAGCGAACACATGATATGATGGATGTGTTTCATTGTGTATGTGACAGGTGTGCTGACCATCCAAGGCACATGGGTGGCGTTTATGGCCGTCTGTCGAGCTACGTGACAGGACCTCTATGTGCGCAGGTAACCGTGCAGGTTTCGCTAACTTTACAATAGAATCCAGATTCTAGAATCCAGATGAATCCCATTAACGTCGTCCCTCCGTTCAGGCGCCGAAGAACAATGCGGCCTACGAGTGCCCCTTCCGGTCCGATAGCTGTAACCTTGGTAACAGCGGAGGCAATTCAGGGACCAAGAAGAAGTTGGACATCCATTTCCCAGACGTGAGGAGCTCAGCGCTGCCTGAGGCCAGAGGGAGAGAAGGTACACAAACCCAATCCTGTGGAGCTCAGACGTCCAATTGACCCCAAAAGTATTTAATCATACTTCATACCAATCCCTGAATAAAGTGATCATTCTGATGTTTCTTCAGGCAAACACAGCAGAGGAACCTCCAAGGACCCGAGGAAAGAAAAAACACTGGTTTCTCCGACAGAACCAGAAGAGCAGAACAACAGTACTGACTCGTAACACCGTGACAAAAGCCCCTTTATTTTAATAATATAGAACCTCAACATCTCCATGAATGTGCACCCTGGTGGATTTTAGGTCGTGGTCACAGCGCTCTGCCACCTCACTGGTTATCTGTCAAGCGTTAAAGCAAAAAATGACCAGAATGAAATGATACATTTTATTATTTACTGTCAATCAAAGGTTTTCAGGTTTTGGTACTTAACAGCGGATCACTGTATATATTTGTACTTTTAGAAGTGTTAAAACAAACATTATGAGAATAAAGAAGCTTCATAATCTAACATTCTTGAACGTAAACTCTCCTTGAAATCTGTTAATATTCACGTGTGAAGGAGGAAGCTCCAACATTTGGCTTCTCGTGTACTGGAGGCAGAGAACACACAAACCCGCTAACGGACCAGCAGATGTGCTCATCTGTAAAGTCCAAACCCAACAACCTCTTTCAAGACTCGTCACTCGAGTCTTCTGAGGAAGACGAACCCGAGTCCCTTCTGTTCCCGTCGGGCCTCCCCGCTCTTTTCTCCGCCGATGCACCAGATTCATCGCTGTCCGACGTCGCGCCGTAGCCTCCGTGAGGAAGCCCTCCCATTGGCTGGGAGTCAAAGCCGCCGAACCCTGGTACGGGGCCAGCCGCGCGTCCTCTGCCGTTGGCCAGGAGGTAGTCGAGCAGGCTGTCTGTCATTGGTCCTGCTGGAGCTGGCCGTGGCCTGATTGGTGTTCTGGTGTTTTTGGTTTCTGGTTCCTTCGGTGGTTCTTGGACCGCCGGCTTTTTGGTTGTGACAACGAGCTGCTGGAGAACTATAGTTTTTTAGCACCTTTTATATATTCAATTCAAATTGTGTAATAAATGCATCATAAACATTAAACTAATAAAGTAAAGGCGTACTAGCGGCCAATTTGTTGTCGTTGGTGATGTCCATGCTTGTAAGACACAGAGACCCCTGGATGGGGATCTTACCTCCATGGTGCGGGGTGTGGTCGTGGTCGTCTCCGTGGTGGTGGTGGGTGTGGTCGTGGTCGTCTCCGTGGTGGTGGTGGGTGTGGTCGTCTCCGTGGTGGTGGTGGGTGTGGTCGTGGTCGGGGTGTTAAATAAAATCTTGCAGGTATCCACCGGAAAACCATCAATTTCTGGAAGCTCCAAATCAAAGGAGGAGACGAACCGAGCTGATGGAGGGAGATTAGAGGACAAACTCAAACGAATGTTGTTGAGATCAGTGATTGTTGAAAGTTAAACTTTACTCTCCTGACGGGGAAATGAACCCAGGCCGCGGCGGCGAGAGCGACGAATCCTAACCACTGTCACATAGTACACTACTTTAATAATAGCACAACGTCATGACTGGGACATTCTTACGTAATATGTCCACATTAGACTTTTCGCCTTCAACTAAGTAAATGCTTTTTATTAATGATATAAACCAGAAAGGATTTGTTATAATATTATTACATTTCACAAAAGATAACTCAACATGCCAGGACATGAATGATGGCATTATGACAAAAAACAATTAGATCTAAACTGTGTAATTACCACTGACTGAAACACAGATTTAAAAATATTATTTAGGTTGTCTTTCTGCAGCTGGTGATTCATTTGTAGATTAGTAAAGCACGTTTCTTGTTGGGTTGCCTGTCTTACCGGCTGCTCTGTTTAACTTCAAATGTTCCCCGCGTGCCTGTTTCCGTTTCTCTACCTTTTCTAAAACGAGGTCGACCTATGATGCATATTTCATGATGAAAGGTGTGTTTCCCTTCCGTCTCCGTCTTTTGTTTCCAGCTGAGCGCTGCGGCTCCCGCTCCCCCCCTGTGACTCCGTGGAGACATGAACACGTGAATCCATCACCACGACGGGTCCTCACCGTGAGTCCAGGTGCTCTGAAGCCCGAGGAGGAGGAGGAGGAGGACGGAGACAGACAGAGACGTCGATCTCCAGGACATGATGATGGAAGATGTAGACAAATGAAGAGGGAAGAAAAGGCTCAACGCAGTCGGAGGACAAAGTGCGGACGGGCTGAAGGAGATGAAGGAGAACAAGAAGGGAGGGAAGGAGTGAAGGGAACAAGTGCATAACGTCTAGACAGTTTGTGGCTCCGAGTTGCATCAGATTAGAAGGCGGTTAATCCGTTTAAAACGTCACTAGTGGCGCCGCCCGGCGGCACAAAGAGTCGTTGGCACGTTGGAACCCGCAAAAAAATACGGCTTCGAATTGTTGCGTTTTGTTGAATTTACTGCACATTAAGAAACGTCTCCCTGTTTGTAGTATTGCAGTACTGTAGTATTGCAGTACTGTAGTATTGCAGTACTGTAGTATTGCGGTACTGTAGTACTGTAGTGTGTTTCACCGTCTTTACTGAAGCTAAGTGAGTATTTCCGTCGCTCATCGGTCTCTTTCCCTCCAGCTGTGGCTGAACTTTCACAGCTGGAACCGGAGATTTCATCGCGCGCGCCGCCGTGTTTATGCCCGCGGTTGCCATGGCAGCGAGTGTCCGCTTACACGCGCGCGTGACCAGCTCCCCACGTGGTGTTTCCTCCCGCGCCACCAGGGGGCGATGAAGCATCCAGGCCGCCTGCTGAAGGTACTTATTGAGGTACTTCCCATGTACAAGTAATGTACTTTTTACTGAGCGTAAAGGTAACTTTACTTTGAAGATTCAAGTTAATAGGAAATATATAATGAAATGATTAACTATCGATAGATACACGATAAGTTAAAATGAGCTTGTTAACACTTTAAAGCATCAACAATTATAAACCTCTTAGAGACTTGGAGGATGAGGAGCGAAATTTATTAAAATGGGTTGAATTCAAAAACGAGAACAACAGAGATTCAAGATGTAATTTCAGTGTTTTATTTTATTTACAAATATAAAATTATATTTGTGTGTGTAGAGGTTGTACTCTTGCTTGCGTTGTGTTGTTAAAATCCCCAACCGGACACGGACCACATTCGGCTCGTATCGGCCGT